GAGGACCAAACTCATGATCTCATACTTGCCAAGCCAGCTCTTATGCCACTGAGCTAAATCCCCAGCCCTGCATTAGACTCTCATAAAATCTAAAAACTTAGGGTGAACTGCACATGCAAGGTTGCATACTCTGAGAATCCAATGCCTGATGATCCAAAGTGGAGCTGAAGCATTGATGTTAGCACTGGAGAGATGCTGCATATACATATCAACATTAGCAGAGATATTTGACTGCAGGAACTATAATGAATCAGTTGCTTACAGACTCACATCAAAACACAATCAGCAAGTAGCTAGTGACAAGCTGCATCTGCTGGCACGACCTATTAGTGGTAACTAAATGGATGAATTTAATTCCTACTTAAATTATGGGTTCATTACCACAATCATTCATTCCCCAAGTTTTGTATGTCGTGACAGGCTATCCAATGAAACCATGAACCATAAAAACTGCTTCACAATATGGAGACCAAACACCCTGCTTTAAAAGACAAGCCTTTGAAGTTTTCAAAAGAAAAGAAATGCAAACACAAAGGAAGCAATTATTGAAGGCCACTACTTCATCAAATGAGAGCATTATTCTTGGTAGCTAAATACATTACAAAAGCTAAGAAGTTCCTCATTATTGATAAAAAGTTGTTCCGACCTGCTGCTAAGGACATTTGTTGTGAAATTCAGGCTACAGTTCAAATGTGTTCCTCTTTCTCTAGCACCATAACCAAATAAATTGATGAAATACCAGCAGATGATGAGGCACAATTGTTACAAAAGGATTGAGTTGCTCCAAAATGCAATCCAGTCTATCAATGGTGACAAGGCAATGATGCTTGTTTTTTGTGTTTTTCAAGAAATCCGAGGACATGTTACGTGCACTTGGTTGTGAACCAACACCACAGCTACAGAACTATTCAAATCTTTGAATGATTATGTATCAGGAAAACTTAACTGATTTTTATGTGTTGGTATTAGGAAAACTTAACTGATTTTTCTGTGTTGGTATATGTGGCTGCTGTAACTGGTTTCATTACTTGAGTCCAAGAAGTTGGTTCTGAATATGATTCTACATAATATTATCCTTAAAGAAATTCAGGTTACCTGAAAAATGTCAACCGAACTTAATATTTTGCAGCCAATTAAAATTTTCAACTACATTAAGATACATGCCCTTCACTCACATTATTCACACAGCTCTGTGAGATGGACACAGCACACACTTCTGATACATAGAAGTGAGACGGCTTTCTAAAAATCACTAGTTTTTGAGTTGTTTGAAACTTTATTTTTAATGTCACCCCTGGCAGCATACTGCAGTGACAGAGAATAGGTAACAAAACTTGCTTGTGATATATTTGACCTACTCACCTGCTCATTCTGTCACTTCAGGAGAGAACAACTGTGTCCAAGTCAGCAAAGTACTTGCATTTAAAGACAAATTAGAATTATGGGGTGACATTGGTATTTTTGACATTTTAAGCATTTCTATAGCAGAGATATTGAAAAAGACTGAGCCAGGGTCTTTTTTCCCTCCCAGCTATTCAATCTCTTATCTAAGCTTTCAAAAGAGTTTGAGCATTACTTTCCAGGCATAAAAAGATCCCCAAATTGGGAAGGAATGGATCCATGACTGTTACAGCTTGTGTCTAGATGTCCTCCAAAGCTTCATAGGTGGGACTTTTCCAGAGGTGGTTAGATCTAGAATACATGATGTTGGGAATGTGTGATTACTAAATTATGCCACTGATGAGTTTTGCAGTTTTGGGTACAATATAAGGGACAGAAAAATGGCTAATATTGTTGTTTGCTTACTGCCTATTGCCTACCATGAACTATTTCTCCTCTGTGAAGCCCCTCTGGAATGCCGCCATGCCTTGAAGCCAGTTGGTTATGGACTGAAATCTCTACAGACTACGAGCCAAAATAAGACTATACTTTATCTTTGGGTGTTGAGTATTTTGTCTCAGAAATGAGAAAAGTAACTAAGACAAAGAGCCATTTGTGAATAAGCCAGAATTTACTTTGTCCATGCTAGGACTAACTGCTTGACATTACAAATGATGGTGGTCTTAAAAATATGTTTGAGACAACTTCAAATGTTATACTTTTTATAGTCAAGGTGGAACATTCTGAGATTGCCACACAAACACTAGAAAGCCTGCGTCCATTCTCAATATTTTGCCATTGTGAAGCAGTGTTCTTTTTACAATGACAGCAACCAAAATGAGATTATGGAGAATAGATGTAAACAACACACTTTTGAGTGTCAGAGCCTTCCATCATCCCTAGATTTAGGGATGATGGAAGCTCAGGGTTCTGATTTGTGTATTTTATACACACACACATATAAATACACACACATATATACAATGAAATGTACAATAAACATGCTAGAATCACCTCCAAACTATTCTTCTTCCCCAGTCCAAAAAAGAAAGAAAACTTTCCTCAATGAAACCAGTTCCTAGTGCCAAAAAAGTTGGGGACTGCTACTATAACTCACATTATCTTCTCTATATGGCCAACCAGTTTCTCTGAGCTAATACATGGCCCAAGTATACACATTTCTGCTACTAATCTCTTTTAAAAATTTCATCCAAACCCAAATTTTTTATTTACTTATAAAATACAATATTGTACTTTTCTTACACTTGTAATCCCAGCACTCGGGAAGCTGAGGCATGAGGATGGATGGAGTTCACTGACACCTTGAACTACCTAACAAGACTCTGTCTAAAAAAATTAGAATAGCTGTATTTTTCATAAAGCTTTTCTGGAACATAAAAGGGATAGAAATAAAATATTACAAAATTGTTATAAGGCTATTAGGTCCCCAAAATAACAAATCATCTTCTAGGTCAGTTATTTCCATTGAGTAATTACTTGCCAGGGCAAAAAAAAAACTGCTCTAATTTTCATTCCTGTGATTTATTCCAAGGTAGAGATACAAGGAACTGTCTGAACTTTCACCAGCTCCAAATAGTCAGGGACATAATAAAGTTTTCTACTTATTTTGAACAGGAATGAAGAAGGGTATGACTTGCCACCTTAAGTCTTTTTGAGAATCAGGTGAAAGCTATAGATCTAGAAAAGAGCACCTTATTACAAAATTGTATCTATTTGAGAGTAAGGAGATAGACCAGTATGCCCAAGCCCATTAATGAACTGGAACTCCTTTCTGAAAAATGGAAAGTGGCCACAAACTACAACTCAGATTCTGCACTGTAACTGATTTTCATGAGAGTTCCAAAGATGGATTGGAGAGCAAGGACTCCTGCTCATATTACTTGACAATAAAAATACTGCGATAACCACCTCAAAATGCTGTTTTATCTTCATCCCATAATCACTCTGCATGTAAAGTAGTAAGCCCTGCCTTGCCCAGCCTCTTTACCTAGGTTTACTTTTCCTCAGCTCACCTCCCCTCCATCGAACATTATTATATATATTATCTGCCTCCACTGACTAGAATGAAAGTTCCGAGAGAGCAAAGTCCTTTTTGCTCATGGTATCTCTCTGGTACGTAACGGGAAAACGTTTTACAAATTTACTTTTTTTTTTTTTTTTTGCTGTACTACAGATTGAATGCAGGGACTCCAGACCTGGCTATATCCCCAGCCCTTTTTACTTTTTATACTGAAACAGTTTAAGTCCCTAATTTGGCCAGGCTGGGATTGAATCTAACAGTCCTCTGCCTCAGCCTCCTAGAGTACTAAGACTAAAGCCATGTACCACCATGCCTGGCAGGCAACTCAAGTATTTTTAAAATTGTATTTGAACATGTTTGCATTACATGAAGTTTATATTCACCTCACGGAGTAAGGTACACATATGCATCTTGATTCTTTATTCCCCTTACCCTCCCCGGCCATCTCCTCTGTCTCTAGATACTCTTTCCCCATTTTTCATTTTTCAAAAGTTCATTTTGCCACATATAACATTGACCTTTATTGTGGGAGACCACTCTATAGAAGGAGTTGCCAAACTATTGCCTACAAGCCAAATTCAGGTTCTACCTTTTTGTAAAAAAAGTTTTCCTGAAACACAGCCATGCTCATTAGTTTACTATGACTCACTAACTTTAATACACAGTTAAGAAGTTGCAGCAAGACCATATGGCCCACAAAGTCTTAAGTATTTATTATCTGGCATTTTACCAAAAAAGTTTGATAGCACTCATTTGGCCCTTATTTTGTAGGTTACAATAGACCTTTGTCTATTGTTGGGTCTCATTATTTCTTTAGATATAAAACAGACCAATGTTCAGAAACAGCTATCACTATATAGATTTCCAACCTCCAACCTAAATTATTTTTGCACAGTGAAATCCAAATGTTACTATTTTCTACCATCAGTGAAATTTTAGCAAGGACACAAGCAAAGATTGCTGGTATTCAATACCTGGAGAACAATAGATAACTGATGCTATGAGTAGTTAGTACCCACCAACTTTCAAGTTAAAAAAACCACTTAAATCTTTAAAATGTGAATGCAACATAGATGGAAAGCTCTTCCTCTAATGTTTCAGACAAATGATTTCAAGATGAGCTACAGTTACTTTGTCTTAATCAAAAATGTTAATGAAATATTTTTATGCCAAGTACTGCACAGGTTCTCAATAGTGAGTGAATACATCACTTTCCCACAAATAATTATTCTACTCATCGTCTGCAAATTATAACACCTGAAAAGAGGCACCAAAAGTTATACTCCTTAGCCAATTTTAAGATATGCTCAGTATTTCTTGGTTGATCCTTTTTGTCTCAAAAGATTAATTTGCATAGTCATAAATGTTTCTAAGAAAATAAAGACTGAATAAATAATTTTAGGCATATTTCTAGCTCAATGCTTCCTCCTAGTGCAGATGTAATCAAATAAGATGTTTCATATTACTGGGTATGTCATTTGACAACAATGTAGCCCATGGAAGATGGAGACAGGTTAGAAAGTATATTGAAGTACCTTTGTTAAGTTATTCTAAATAATCAACAATACACACAATGATATACAATCATTTGAGAAAACTATTTTTTATTTAGAAAAAGGGTTACACTGGTAGAATTCATTTGATTAAAAAAATTCTCTTTTAAAAATGTCACTGTGAAACTTTCACAGACGAAAATTCAGCAATACAAAGCTCCTGCTGCTGTCAAATTAAAACAATTAGCTTTTGATTAACCCCCACCCAGATTTATCTAATTACAAGAGAACATGGAAGGGACAGGCGAGCGCTGGTATCTTTTTTTTTAAAACAGACTTTAATGTTGTACATGTAGTATATAAAATGATTGCTAGGCATTTCATAAGATACGTTTCCCATTTTGTTGTTAGTGATTAATATTAAAAACAGGCTAAATAATAAATTAAAACTGAGTTTCAAAATGAGGTAAATCCAAAATGGTTCAATAACTGTTTATTTTCAGTTTCAAACAGTAAAAAGGAAGCATTTCAGGTTGGGAGAAGCTACACCTGCGCAATATTTAGTTAACCAAAAGTGAAATTCTGTACATATGTAACCATGGTTGCTTATTGGAAGTAGATGCAGCACATTGTGCTAAAAATATGGGAACAATTAACACTTTCAGCCATTACTGAAAATAAACATGTAGAAATTAAGCAACAAATTAAAACACAATAATTCACAACTTAAACAATTTTAAGTTTTCCACATGGAGCAATAAAGTAGATTACTGAATAATTTAAGGAGATGCAAATGGGCCCTCTTCATTCTTAATTCTCAGCAATCTACTCAGGAAAATAAATTTCTGGTCACAGCAGAACAATTTCATTCCAATCTCACCTGAAAGAAACAAAGTGATTATATTGATAGATAGGGAAAGAATGAGGGAATGAGAAAAAAAGAGAATGGGAGCAAGGGTGGGGACAGAGGTCAGAGGTAGGAAAGAAGAGAAGAAGAGGGCAAGAGGACAGAAAAGAGGGAGGAGAGGTAGCAAGGAAGCAGAGAAGGAAGGAAAGAAGAAAGGACACATTAAGAAAGAAAAGTTGGTGAGTTTTGTTAAAACAAAGCCTTGAATGAAGTCCCCAGAAAAAGGATGAACCAGTTGTGTATTTCTTATTGTCCACTCTTAGAAACCATTAAGATAAGCATACAATGACTTGAACTGAACATGGGAGTGGGGATCGCAACAAGTAAAACATTTCACAGGGGAAAGCAATAGTTTATAAAAAATAAACAGAACATGTAGCAAAGAAAAGGAACCTATTTTACATGATCAACAAAAAGAAAAACAGAAAATGACATTATTTTTCACAAGGACAATTTTAATAGTGACTTATATTAAGATGCAATATCTGCTAAATTATAAAAATTGCTTTAAAAATATATTGACTCAATTATATTCATTTCCTTTATGTATTGACATTTTTTCAAATACTGCATATTGAAATAATTCAAAACATGATCATTACAACATGTGGCAAATATCTTCATATCTGCCTAACATTGCTCATTCAAAATTTAAACTAATGCTCAATGCATTAATCTTTATTGATGAAAATACTACATTCACATATTTCATAAAACCAGAGCTAGAAGGGGTCTTAGAAAATAATCACACTTGCATGAAATGCTGACAAATAATTTACATATCATTTCTACACAGCATTCTGTTCATATCATGTATAATCTTGACATTATCAATAATTATGGATACACTGATTTTGAACTTACAGTTTTAATACTTAAAAAGTCATTGTTCCTGTCCATTCACCGAAGAATGGATAAAAAAAAATATGATACACATTCATACAATGGAATATTAGCCATAAAAAGGAATGGAGTACAGATACATGCTACAACATGGATGAATCTTGAAAACATGATGCTAACTGAAAGAATCCAGATACAAAAGGCCACAATATTGCATGATTCCATTAATGTGAAATATCCAAAATAAGCAAATCCATAGACATAAAGTACATTAGTGGTTTCCACGGAGTGGGAGAAGGGGAGAATTGAGAATAACTGCTAACACATATGGGCCTTCTTTTTATGGTAAGCAAAATGTTCTGAAATTAGACAGTGGTGATGACTGCACAGCATAGTGACTATACTAAAACCACTGAATTGCACACTTTAAAAGTGAATTTATCTCAATTTTTTAAATTGAAGAAAAGTGATGTTCTAATAAAGAACATCATGGTGTCTGTATGATCATAACTAGAGTAAGAAACACTTCTCAATCATCAAGATGTCACATTAGGAGACTCATTAGGCAAGGGAAATTTTGACGGCATAATTAAGTGCATATTAAAGAATAAAACTCTGTTGCTTTTAAAACAAGTAGAGATCTTTCGCCAGAACGCAAATCAAATTTTTTACAAGACAAAATCCTTAAGCAACATAATTATCCCAATGTTGTAAAACTTATAGTTCACACACAAAGACAGCCTATCTACATCATTAAGGAACTGGTTCCAGGAGGCGATTTCCTCTCCTTCCTGAGAAAGGATAAACTAAAACTCAGTTAGTGAAATTTTCATTAGATGCTGCTTCTGCATGGAGTATCTCGAGTAAAAATTGTATGCACAGGGACCTTGCTGCTAGAAACTGCCTGGAGGTGAAAATAATGTTCCGAAAATCAGTGACTTTGGAATGTCTCATCAAGAGGATGGTGATGTATATTCATCTTCTGACTTAAAGCAGATTCCCATTAAATGGACAGCACCAGAAGCTCTTAATTATGGGAGTATCGTTCTGAGAATGACGCATGGAGCTTTGGCATCCTCCTCTGGGAGACCTTCAGCTTAGGGGTCTGTCCATACCCTGGAATGACAAATCAGCAAGCACAAGAGCAAGTGGAAAGAAGATACTAGATGTCAGTCTCTCAGCAGTGTCCAGACAGTGTTACAAAACAATGCTGAAGTGTTGGAATTACAAACTTGCAAACTCTCCCTGAGTTCAATGAACTTCTAAGAGAAGCTACCTGCCATCAAGAAAGTCACATAGTGAGGAAACATCAAGGTCAGCTTTTGGGGCATCTTAAAAAGCATAATATTTTGTTCTCATTTAACACTGAGTTAATACCACATTACCTGTAACATTCTTACAACTATTTTCTTACTAAATTTTTAAAACATACCTTAACAATTCCATATACAAAAGCATAGGTTTGAAATGGAATCGCAGAGATCTTTTTCAAATTTAAGTTATTGATGTTTCTCAATAGCACTGTCTACTTTAATCTCAGTTCACAATTTGCTGTCTTCCATCACAGACACACCTCTTCTCTATTGGTTCTATGAACTGTACTGATAATACCATATTTGTGGGACACATTCAAACAAAAGGTGGCCTTCACTCTGCTGCGACAAAATTATATTTGTAAAAATTACTTTATATTGGTAATTATCTGAACCTCCTATGTTTCACTTTTAACCCAAAATACACCTATATTCTAATATACCTTCCTCTTTGTTAGGGCATCAGATCATAAAATTAGGGTAGCTGACTTGAGCTGTGATGGCAAAAGGCAAATTTGAAAAGGTGGGTATGGAGATATCAGTTAGAGTGGTGATTAAAGTATAAAGAAAAGGGGAACATATAATCAGCCTTCTTATGAGAGGTATGCCTTTATATATACACAGTTTTTTTATGGTCATGTTTACAAAAAAATTTCTAAGAAATGTTTCAGTAGTTCATAGATTCCTCTTAAAATAGCCTTTTGGATGACAATAAAAAATTAACAACTACAAAATACAAGCCCACCAAAACAATAGCTTACTCATGGTTAAGTGTCTGTACTTCAAAGGAAGTATCTCAGTATTGTGTGTTCCTTCATTTTTACAAATGTTTGAGATTGTCAGGATTTCATGATCTTAGTATTTCCTCTCTCTCTTTACACACACACATGCATGCACTTGCACATGCACAAAGGTATATAATGATGAAACTGACACTTTAAAGACATCACATGAATATAAGGAAGAAACAAATTTTGAAGAGAAGACAGGGACAATCATCCTAATTCCACTTTATACTTTGATTTGCTCTTTTATTACAACCCAGGAAACACAGTTCCTGAGATGTTCCACGTAAGTAAAATGTAATGTTAAAAACTGAGACTCTGTTGAGATAAATCTTAAATTTTTTGAGACAGGGTCTTGCTATGTAGTTCAGGTTGGCCTTGAACTCATGACAATCTTTCTGCCTCAGCCTCTCAAGTGCTAGGATTATAGGTGTGTGCCACCACACTCAGTGAGATAAATCTTAATTTTATCCAAAGATACCTCTCAACATAAATATATATATGCAGAAGACAGTCACACTGAGTGGTAAATATGGAATGGAAGTATTTAACCTACGCCTATGTCAAGACTGAAAAAAAAAAAGAAAATAGCATCTTAATGAATATTTGGTTTACCCTAACAGAAAGAACAAGGAAACGAAAAACTCCTCCTGCCCTCAAATGTTTGGTAACTATTAAAAGTATGAATGCACAGAACTCAAACTCCATGTGTTTGAAGGAGTATAAAAGATAATAAATAGAAGGATGGTCTCTATCATTTCAATCTCTTAAGAGTCATTACATATTTAATGACTAACACATACAAACTAAAATGAAAACATAGTACTATGACTTCAAAAAATGTTGCAGCGAACAACTTTTTAATAAGCATGTTTTTTTTCTTTCTTTCAAATGATGTAAGTTAAATGAACTTTCTTTAAATGACATACTTTTTAAAAATTGCCCTTTATCAAGTTCACACTGATTCCCAAAATATTTGCTAACTCTGTACTGCTCTTCAGGCATAGTTAACAGAACATCTAAAATATTCTAGAAAAATAAAGAAAAAATTCTTGGTTTTTTTTTTTTTTTTTAAGCAGGCAGGGATAGTTATTTCCTTGAACAAAATCACAATCTAAGAAGGTAGATATGTAACATACTCATATATACATGGAAACCACTAACCCAGACAGACTCACATGCAATGGCTAAAGCTAGCTAAAACAGAAAGAAATTTAAACACTCCCTATCCAATATATATTACCAACATCTAGAAATTAGCCCCAGAATGGCAACGTGTTCATAAAATAAATCTGTGATCACTTAAGAGATCAGTTTCTAAGTATGAACTGAAAATAATTTTAAAAAGTTTAGAGCAAGAATTACATTATCAGCTGTGTATAGGGGCTAGGGATGTAATGAAAACGAGTGACCTGAGTGGGGAAATCTATTGAGATTAACTGTTTTGCAGGGTAGGAGGCAATCCTCATTCTAAAGAGGGTAGCACCTAGGCAAGTCTGATTGCTGCCACGCAGAAATTAGGACACAATGCTCTCAGATAATCTGATTCAAAAGAAATGGAAATTCAGAACTGTCAATTCTTTTAACTGTTATGGGCAACCAAGTTTTTTCTCAAAACTTACACTTTGCATGGGGCCAAAAAGGTACAAGTAACAAGCCTCATTTTGCCCAATAACAGAATTTACAACCTTGCATTCTGAAGGTAAGAGTATTATACCAGACATGAGATTGGAGGTTGAGAAATGAACTTACATGCATTAGGCCTTGTTGTAATGGAGAATTAGAATAGGAATATAACAGACTAAAAACACAGATGCACAGCGTATGAGCTGAGGGCCACCCATATCAAATTAAAATTGAAAAGCTAACAGATGGCTCCTAGAGGACAATTTAAATAATAGGCAGCCATTTCTAAAGATTAAAGCAGAAGAAGAAAAGTTAAAAACAAAGCAACAGGTAGTAATGTTTAAGAAGCTAATAGAGAAGTATTACGAAATTGGACAAACTTTACAGGAAACACAAGATACAGAGAATTGATAGAAGAATCTGGAACCAAAAATAGGAGACACAACAAGACAGACTGAATGAATTTAATCTGGGTCCCATTATATACCTCTTTCCTTAACTCTAATGTGATCATTTTTCTGGGGATATAGCTCAGCAGCACAGTGCCTGCCTGGCAAGTGCAAGGTCCTGAGTTTGATTCCCAGTACCAAAACAAAGGTAATGTGACCATTTTATTGTTTTGAAATCAGGATAAGTACAAATCAGTGTCACTTCTCTACTCATTCCCCTTAAAAATGTTCTAAAAATCAACAATGAAATCTTGGAATTAGTGACATCTTTTAATTATGCCAGTGTAATACATGTTAGAAGCTCTCCTTCCATAGAACAGAAAATAAATTAAAAAGAAAAAAGGGGAGTGGTATTAGGAGTAGCCTACAGATAGGTGGTACCAATCAGAAATTAAGAGATCTCTGAAATAAAGGAAAACACAGGCTGGCCCAACCACAGAATGAATTCAAACAGAAAAGAGGTACCCAGAAAACACTCAGAAGACAGCCAGAAAATGAAAAATGTCAACCAGAATCTCACAAAAGAAGGAGTCTTCCCAAGCAAAACTACAGTACACAGTTGTTAGCAAGAAATCTGAACAAGGGAAACATGCTAAATGTACCTTTAAAAGGATATCTGAATCGAGACACTTTGTTACAAGACCATCAGCTAAAAACTGACCACTGGTCAGTTTTTTCATGACTTTGTTCCTGAGGGTTTATAGAGAAGTATAAACTCAAGGCCAGTATAAAAACAACTCAGAAATCTGTAGTAAAACGGTCACATGCAAAAGAATAATACCTAGTTACTAAATAAGGGGACATGTATAAAATCACAATAAGGCCAGATGTAGCAGTACATGCCTGTAATCCCAGCACTGAAGAGGCTGAAACAGAGATTCCCCTTAGTTTAAGGTCAATATGGGCTACAGAGCGAGTCTGAAGCCAGCCTACACTGCATAGTGAAACCGTGTCTCAAAAAAAAAAAAAAAAATCACAGTGAAAGCTATCAGTGATAATGGGTGGACCATTCCTAATGAATATTTCAGACGTAAACTGTTAGCTTTTTTGATAAAGAATATATGAAAGCAACATGCCAAATTAAAAGATTTAAAGATGAAGGATGAACAAAGAAAGATTAAAAATTTATACTTCACTGCAGAAGATAGCAGGGAAGGTGAATAGAATTGAATGATGGGTAATATTTCTTTTATAATCTTCTTGATTTAAAAAACTATTAAATCCCAAATACTCTTTTATTAAAAAAACCTCTTGTTTGTTTCACTTTAACATAGAAAAACACCACTCATCAGGTGATCACTAGTCTGGCTGCTTTGCAGCCAAAAGAAAAATGACGAAACTCATATTCTAAAGGCCATATTATACTGTACTGGCTCTTGGCTATTTTTCTCACTCTTAATTTGAACAACTGTAAATGCTTTGAAATCTATCTGATCTGACTTCATGAAAGATTAGATGTAGTCAATAATATTAGGGGTAAGGTATAGATAGCAGGTACATTTAATATCCTTAAGAAATGATATCTAAAATGGAAGCAAGAAAATGAGCTATAAAATACAGAGTTAATAACTTTATATGATCTGGCTGGGTGTTAATGGTTCGTGCCTATAATCCCAGCACTACAGAAGCTGAGGCAGGAGAGAGTTCAAAGCCAGCCTGGGCTACATATGAGTTCAAGGAAAGCCTAACTACATAGGGAGAACCTGTCGCAAAAACAAAAACAAAAAAAAACTTCAAAAAACATGTAGTACTATGTAGAAGTATTAAATGTAGATGGCAAAGTGTCTTATCAGTAATTCTAACACCACCAAATAGTAACTATTCATAAGTTGAGCATAAATGTTTAAAACAGGCTATATTATAGTCTAAACATTCTGCCCACCAAGATTTATTTAAGATGGTTAAAATACTTTTTATATGTGACCTAATGCCTGAGTGCATTAATTGACAATAAAATTGCATATTTAAATTCTAGAATTAAAAACATACACTTCATTTTCTAGCTTTGCAAAATACAGTCAGTGGTAGAAAAAGAGGTCTAAAACATTAACAAAAATATTTGGATAAAGATCACATGAGATGGCAAGAAGAATAGGGAACACTAAAGAGTAAGACCTAAGTTTGACTATTGGCTACACTGGCTAATATCTCTTGTGACTTTCTTCAACTTAAACTCTCGAGAGTCTCAATCAGTATTTTCACCTGTAAAATGCAAATTCTATCACCACTCAGGACTATAGATAGTTTTAAAAGGCAATTAATTACATTTTACTTAGGTGAAAATTGAAGTAGTTGTATTTTGCAAACTGGATCTAGCTTTTTCAATGTTATCAAACCCATTTTGTTTCTATCTTTAAATGAAAAGGTGAGAGAACACTCACCTTGATTGAAAGTCTTCATTATCTGTGCTTGTCCGAGGACTTATGAGTAGATGACAAATTAAGGGAAAACAACTTGGGGCGGACAGGTGTGTGTGTGTGTGTGTGTTTGTGTGTGGGTGTGTGCCTGTGGATGTCTTGTGTATGAATAGTGTCCCATCTTCTAGTGTAATCCCTTAGCTTACAGTACTATTTAGCTCTAACCAACTTGGGGTGGGCAGGTGTGTGTGTGTGTGCCTGTGTGCGTGCCTGTGTCTTATGTGTGCATAGTGTCCCATCTTCTAGTGTAATCCCTTAGCTTACAGTACTATTTAGCTCTGACCAACTTGGGGTGGGCAGGTGGGCAGGTGTGTAGGTGTGTGTGTGTGTGTGTGTGTGTGTGTTTGTGTGTGTGTGTGTGTGTGCCTATGTGTGTCTTGTGTTTGAATAGTGTCCCATATTCTAGAGTAATCCCTTAGCTTACTATGGTACTAATTGGCTCTGACCAGTTTGGCAGCCTCAAACTCTACCAAATCTTATCTGACACATTAATTTGCCTTTCCATCACCATGCCCCAGCCCGAGGCACTCTTTTTCCTTTTCTTCCTCTTGGTGACAATAAAGACAGAGGTAATATAAATCCCTTGGTGGCATAAAACATCTCAGTCACAAAAGAAGTTAAAAAGTCACGAACATCAAATCTCTCACTTTCAGATTTCATATATTTGAGAAGGTTAACTAAAAAGACCATTTGAAAGCTAACCAGCACCTAAATATTTACACCACATACTACAAGATGTAATTCCAAACATCAGTTTTATCAAAGCTTTCGACAACACTGATTGAAATATTAATTAATAAAGATGAAAAGGATATTGTTTCTTCTCTTCCTTTCCTCCTGAACTGTCCCGTTTCTCTTTCTTTTCTATCTTTTCTTTATCATGCCTGGACTCCTATAAGGAATGGTGGAATTAGTTGGGGGAGGGAAAACCAAGTATTTGTTTTAAAAATCAGCTCACTTTTCATCACCCACCAGCTACAATTTTTCTTCAAAAAGTTAATATGACATCAAAAGCACAAGCAGCAAAAGAAAAAGATATATTGACTCCACCAAAAGTAAAATCTTCCCTGTATCAAAAGCACACTATCAAGAAAGTGAAAAGATGGCCAACAAAATGGGAGAAAACATTTGCAAATCATGTATAGGGATCTAGTAATCTAAATTAGATAACAAACTCTTACAACTGAGCAACAAAAAGACAACTCAATTTTAAAGCAGCCAAAGGATCTGAATAGATTTCTCCAAAGATATACAAATGGCCAACAGAAACATGGAAAGATGTTCAACATCATTAGTCATTAAGGAAATGCAAATCAGAACTATGAGATACCACTTCACATCCACTAGGATAGCTATAAAACAACAACAAAAAACAAAATAACCAATATTGCAAAGGATATTTAGAGAAATTTGTACCCTGATACAATGCTGGTAGAAATATAAATTGTATAGCCAGGAGGAAAAGAGTTTGACAATTCCTCAAAAAGGTTAAGCATAAACTAGAATTCCACTCCTGAGTGAATACTCAAGAGAATTAAAGACAGATATTCAAATAAATACATGGCAGCAGACAAATGTTTGCAGGACTATTCACAATAGCCTAAAAGTTGAAACAACCTAAAAATTCCATCAACTGACAAACACATAAATGTAGTATACTCACACAATGGAATATTACTTATATAAAGAAAATAATAGATTATACAACATACAAGAATCTAAAAAACATTATTATGCAAAGTGAAAAAAGACACTAAAGGTCACATTATTGTATAACTGTATTTATAGGAAATATTACAAACAGGTAAATCCACAGAGACAGAAAGTAGATTAACATGTTCATGACGCGGCCAATAATACATTTGTCTAGCTGCTGGATGGCTTGAAACACTGGTGGTACATTCATGACTGTCCTGTGGCTTTTTATTAATTTATTAGTAAAAAAAAAAACAATAACAGTGATTAGCTCCATTTAGTACAAGCTGCCTGCTGGGTCAGTCATGCATGTACCACCTGTAGTTCAAAGCCCCATTGAGAACGCGTTAATGGTTGCCAGAGGTCAAGGACAGGGAAAGTGGGGACTCATTGCTTCATGCATGTAGGGTCCCTTTTGGGTGAGTAAAATGTTTTGGAACTACAGGGATGACTGTGTGATATTGTAAATAGGCTAAATGTCACTGAATTGCACACTTTAAAAGTTCCTTACACTATAATAATTTCACCTCAATCAAAAAGACATTTAAAATAGTTTATCTTTGAAAGCATATACAAGTAGTCGTCACCTTTTAATGTTCTAAACTTTTTATGAATCATGAATATACTGCATAATTTTGAATATATGCAAGAATGCTTTGTGAATACTTCATATTTAGCAATTGTTTATTACATTATGGCACAGACATGAGATTTAGTTTGAAAACCATCCATTAGTATGTAAGAGAATATACCTTATATTTAAAAGCAAATTAAGTTTCAAGCAAATTAGTTTATTAGGAAAAATATAAAAATATTTAAAATCTTATTTAATGAATACTATGACACTCTGATGGTCACAGAGAATACATGTTACTATGTTTTAATCTTAAGAATAAAGAGAAACTAAAAGCAAAGAAGTATAGATAGAAAAAAGGAAAAAAAGAGAAGGTTAAAACTGAAAGAACAGAAGTAGGTGGGAATGGGATGGAGAAAAATAATTTCAGAAATATACTAACTATACCTACCCTCCCAATAATCTGGGGATAATTTGATTCAAATTCCCTAATCAAATAGCTCACCTCCCTCCCATGTCTCATCTCCAAATAAAATTAACAAAAGATTATTTGACAAAGAAAAATTTCAACATTTGCGAAATTTTTAAAGGGTTGACTTTTTTAAGAAAAAGTACATTATTTGTTTTCCTAATTTACCTTTTTGCCACCAGAGGAGATTTTATCCATCTTCTCAGATTTAAATGATTCACTGCCTTTTTCTTTGCCTGAAGATTTTGACTTATTTTTTTCCTTGTCTTTCTCATTTGGATAAGGAGACTCACATGGACTTTCACTTTTGTGCTTTGAAACCCCCACTAAAATTACAAAAGAGATTCATGAAAGCCTTTTATAATTCATTTGGATAATTGCTTTGAAAGTATTAATATGTTTACTTACTCGTCCCATTTTCTTCCTTCCTCCTCTTGGTTAAATCTGGTGGCACTTCACGGTCATTGTTTGAATGATCCTAGAATCAAGAATTGTAAATGATATTGATAAACGGTTTATGTTTTTGTTTCAGTTACTTTTCTATAAGAAAAGGTACAACTATCATGGTGAATTATTTGCAGTAGTTTCACATACTTCGTAAAACGGCGTGAAAGAAAAGCAGAGCTGGTAGAGATTACTAGACTAAAGATCCTTGATACTGCAGAAGATGCAAACACACTTGAGCATAAAAATACCAATTAAAACTCAAAACAACAGATTGCTATGTATGTTTTAAAGGCAATAAACGCTATTATATAATAATGAGGTTTCCAAACTAGTTTTAAAACGTTACACACCCTTTTCCGTTCTTTCCTGTCCTTTTCATCTTTTTTCTCTCTTTCTCTGGATCTTTCCCTTGACTTGTCCAAATCTTTCTTGTCCATTTCTCTCTCCTTACTCTTGGACAGTGGTGGAGTAGTATGATTAAGGTAGAGCTGTTAAATTAAGGCAATATTACTAAAGATTATTTTAGTTTTCCAGTATTGGGACCTTTTGGTTTTTAATTAAATGAAGACAATTGGTAGTTAGACCCAAAGTCAAAACTGGTCAGCTGTTTGTATTATAAGAGATAAAAGAGTATCACATAAATTATACAAAAGCTTTTGATTCGTAGCCTTGTAAAAATTTCCATTTAAACTCAAACCAGTATATCACTGCCTCAACTGAAATTTCTGAAGTAAGCTCCTTATCTCACTATTGTAAAGACCTAGTCACCACTACCATTACAAGAGTCTACAAGTGAAAAATAGTGGCTGGACTTTATCATAAAGAAACAAAATACAAACCTCTGCACAATCATGAAAAGTTCTTACCATCCACTAATAGGCAGTCGATGATGACAGTAAGCGAGAATGTAAAAATAAAACAAAGCCATTTCTTTATGGTAAATACTTTCTATCCCAGTATAAACTAGGCAGAGATTATTCAATACTCCAATTCCACTGAATAATCATAACTGACTTTGACATTTATTGTATTGGTGTTAAATAGTCAGAAAGCCAATGTGTCGGCTGAGGGCAACTAAACTACTCAAAGACTGAAAAATAATGAAAAATACTGCCCTATGCTTGTGCTTTAACTGCGAAAAGGTCTACCTACAGGCAATCAAACAGTAAGGATACTCTAAATCTAAATAGCCAAGAGACAACCCTACTTATGGAAGATGAAAATATGGGAATCTACCATAAGAGAAAATATTTAAGAAGTAGTAGGAAATAATCAGATGCCTAGCCTTACAGCATTTAACAATGTTACAAACTGAATTTAATAACTAAAACTATTAGGCAACAGAATACTCAATAAAAACTTATTGCATAACTATACAATTCTACATATACCTTAAGAGTAAATGTAAGAGTGAGGCAAATATTTTTACATGAACAATTCTTTGGTAGTAAAAGGAACAACAAGAAAAAAAAGGCCACAAGTGTAAAAATTAAACGATTTTAATATCATCAAACATTTTCAATTCAGTTGGCTCATAAATACTGCCTTGCAATGCAGAAGTGGATTCTTTAAAATTTCTATGTTTAAAAGTTGATCAACTGAAATAGAATGTTTATTAATAACAAAGAGCAAGAGAACTATAAAGTCATAAAGTACTTGTCTAAAAGATACTCTTGCTGAATAGACATTTAATGCTTCAAGATTTTTTCTAACTGTGAGGTTTATCACACCTTAATTTACTCAAGAAACTGATAAAGACAAAGGTAATAATATATTACTGCAATATTCAAAGATTTTTCTAAAGATGGTATTGCTTACTTTTTTCTAATAATAGAAAAAGGTTTATTCACCAACACACACGTGCATGCAGGCACACACACCGTTCTACAAGAATGAAGGCACACACTTCTACAAGACACACACACACACCCTTCTACAAGAATGAAATGTTTACCTGTGCTTATTTGAATTCTGTATTGCAAGCAATTGAGCAAATTTCTGGGGCTTATTTCTGACATTAATCAAATATTTCACTCCTGATACGAAAACTTTAAAAGCTCAATAGATACACAATAAATTATTTGTTTAAAAATATACTTAATTCGGGGCTGGAGGTTTAGCTCAGCGGCATAAGCACCTGCCTTGCAAGCAGGCAGTCGTGAGTTCGATCCCCGGTACCGATAAAAAGGAAAAAGACAAAAAAAAAAAAAAATATATATATATATATATATATATATATATACTTAATTCAATTTTCCTTTCTACTCTTTTAAGAACAGCTGTAACTACAATACTTTTTCCACAAAAAAAGTATTTTCTCATAGCCTATTGAATGAAATGCATAGGCTAAGGCATTCCAAGTTCTCCACAATATTTTCACAATTATACCCCTCTTTACTACAACCAAACAAGCTCCATGCTGTGGCCATACTACTCCCTAACTCCTATCCATTTTAGCAGTTCTCTTGACCAGAATGTTGCTCACTTTTATTTTAAACTCTTAAAATTCTACTTCGTCTACAAAGACAATTTAATAGCCATTAGCACTTCCATCAGTCATTCAACCCTACAACTTGCTTTCCAGTGTGTTCGTCTGTCTGTCTGTCTTTATTTCTTTCTGAGATGATCTTGCTATATAGCTCAAGCTAGGCTTGAACTCACTACGCTATGTAGCATAAGCTCGTCTTGAATTCATGGCAATCTTCCTGCTTCAGACTCCCAAGTGCCAGGATTACAAGCATGTGCTATCCCACTCACCTTTGGTATTATTAGTTTCATGCCATTTATTTTTGTCCCCAAGAGCTTTTAATACAGTAAGAAAACTAGGATAATTTTCCTACTTTTACATACTTTCTAGTAGCTTGTGTATACCCTGAGTACTCAACATGTATTCCAAATAAAATAAATGATCTGTATACAACAGTGTTGAATTTTATCCTTGCTTTGCTTTTATTCCTAACACTGGGATCATTATGGTCCAAAAAAAGAACTAGACCTATTTTTAAAACACATGCCTGGTTAGAGGAACATGCTTTTAACACTTTATCAAATGTATCTGCATGGGATTGCTAGGTCAAAGCACAACTAATTAAAACTAGACATATCCCAGGAGAAAACTGGTATAGACGGTGCACTAAAACAAAAGATTTAGATATTATGATTTTTCGCTCTTTAATCTTATCTGAAAAATCAAGTTCATGTGTAAGTTTTACCGGGCATTAAAAAGTGAAAATAGCAGTTGTCATTGGTTTTAAGTGCCTATTAATTCCCTCATTCTGGAAAGCTGAGGCAGAGGATTTCAAACTGGGGCTCAACCTGGGCAATTTGGGGACTTAGCAAGATATAGCCTCAAATTTTTTAAATGACTGGGTATGTAGCTCAGTGTGAAGGTCCTGTGCTTAATCTCTCATAACAAAAAAAAAAGATAGATAGATAGACAGACAGACAGAGGAAGCTCTCATAACAAAAAAAAGATAGATAGATAGACAGACAGACAGAGGAAGTAAAAATAACAAAAAAGAATCCTAGGGGCAAAAGCACAACTAAGAAGTCAAACTTAATGAGGGAAACAGTTTCTACAGACAAGTGACAGGACAACATGAAAAACAGACACTATCTGCTAAATCCTCTAAGAAGCAAAAGCTACTCCAGAAATAGTCAAGTTATAGAAAATCAGTTTTAGAAATCAAAGTCCAGAAAAAAATTTATTCTAAAACATGCTATTAAACTTTCTAAATATATAAACTCAATAGTCAACACTGTAGTAACATCAGCAACCATACAAACCAGTACTTTAGATGATTTACTAATGTCCAAATGCTTAAGAGTTCATTTTAAATATTCACTGAATATCGAATGTTATTGCTAGGCACCATGCTAGGCTCTAATGATCTGAACAGTGGTACACGTCACATAATTTTTAGACACATATGCCATTTTCAAGATTTTCTGGTTGTATGTGGAATACATCTATTGTATTATAATCTTCATAAAACTGTAACCAAAAAGTGGGAAAATCCACATGAATCGCTGTAATTTAAAAAATAAGATAAACACACTAAAGGAGCTAGGAACATTTTTGACTACTGTTGAGATAGGTGCTATGAATCAAAAAATCTTAGTTCACATTTTGGTACTAACAGGTAATATACTAACAAAGGCTCAAGAAGATTTTAAATATCTCATTTGTCAAAAAGATATGTACTATCTGCCCTATTTAACCCCACAGCACTAATTATGAGCATGAAATGAGACAAATATATATATTATCCCACATTTTATTTTCAAAAGGCTTTCACAAATGAAAGGAATCTTCATCAATGATTAGAAAGTCTTGTTAATTTTACAGCAGGTTTCAAAACCGCTTCAAAATATCTTTCAGTAAATAAATACAAGACTATTAACCCATGAATTTAAAATAGCCCACAAAAGCCACTGATGGTTAAGACTGACAAGTACAATCTCAAACCAATTATAAAGACCTACTAATTGCAATACAAATTCAGTTTACCCAATAATACATTTATTTTAACTTTAAAGAAAGAATCTATTGTATTTCTGATACTCTTTTGATTAATATAGTACAGTCTAAAAACAATGTCCATATTTTTAGGGCACAGGCACAGTGGCTAATTTGTTAAAAATCAGTGCTTATTTGCCCAGAATCCACAGAAATTTCATTATAAAACTATAGTAAAAGCAGTCATCCCAAAATTCCATTTGGTCCATCAGTAAACAAACATATTTAGCAGATAAAAGAGAAGTATAAAGTCAAAATAAAGGATGGTACAAATTTTATAATAAAAACAAACTAGCTTGAACAATAGACAATCCAACTGTAATACTAGAATTAATTATGTAATACAATATACAAACTATACACTATTTTTAGAAGTAGAATACCCAGGAAAGCAGATTAACAGGTTAAGAATAAATACTGACATACCCAAATTGGTTGTGTTTCCATGTTAGTGGAATAAATATTTTACATTAAGTTTATCTTTTGATATTATGCCACAGCCACCAAAAAGATACCTCATCAGAAGAGATAGTATAAAGAACTAAATAAAACTGAGACAGACTCAATTGTTAAAACAGTTATGTGTCTGCATCAAAGTACTTTTTTGGTCTTCCGGACTGTCCTTTAAAAAGAGAAGTCTGGCTTGTTTTGAAAAATTAAAGAAACCTACTCCCCTAAAACAAACCCGTATAACTCCTTTCCCCAAACTATAAACTAATTTCCAGATTTTAAAGCATAAAAGGAGAATATATAACACAGCAAGCCAAAGACAAATTATAGAAGTGTTGCCACATTACACACATTATATAAAAAGACCATTGTCATTTCTTTAGTTTGTAGTAACAGTTTTTAAAAGTCATTCTAAGTAGAGTGCTTTTTGCCACTGACCCTACTTTACTGAATCTACTAGGTTGAATATATACACTGGATAAAAGAAGTAAAGAACTTTTTGGTTTTCGTAGGCATGATGATTTTAAAAGGCTCAAACCTTTGTTGAAGACTCCTTGAGATCGATGAGACTGTCCTGTAGAAAATGAATGGAGATGACAGGTGAGCTGGCATAGTTCTCAGAACCCAGAGGAACTTTGGGAAGTATGGCTGTAACCTGGAAATAAACCAGCTACTTCTTGTGAGGATAAATTCAGTGACAGAATTATCAATATGAGTATCAATAACAAAAAACAAAAACAAAACCATGTAATGGGATTGTAATGTCAAAAAAATTATATGTACTTAATGAGAAAGAAATACAAGTTTTATTCTTTCTGCTAAAAATTTAAACATAAATGTCAATGCCACAATATTTATATCTCTGCATTTAAGTTATAATTAATTTAAAAGGCTTAAGAAAACAAAGCATTTTTCCTCCACACAAAAAGTTTTAAATAGCAGAGTTCACTGTGGAAGAACAATGACATATTTTCATAGATTTTTCTTTAGTTGGAAAGTTTCAGACTTTACTTATAAATCTAATAAAGCTAGACATGTTTTATTATAGCTAAAAAAACTTAGTGGCATTATACTACAAGAAAACAAAATATATTCTATAAAAGAGTAATCACTTTTTTTGTAAAGTGCCTATGGTGAATCTCGTAAAGTATACGCGCGCACACACACACACACACACACACACACACACACACACAGCATTTTAAAAAAAAGAAAAGTAAATCAATTACGGTATTCCACCACAGTGCTCTTGATGAAGAATTAATAACTTACAGTTTTAAAAGTTCAACGTACTGCAAATTCAAAGATTCCATGAAATTAGATGACTTTAGAATTAAAATTAAATATGGAGCAAAGAATGGCTACCCTGAGTCTTCAAGAAGGCTACACCCACGATTTTGTGCTGCAGTTGAATGCCTGGGGTTTCTCTTTGCTGGGTGGTAGGATTGGATGCCACATCTGCTTTTATCGTAACGGAAGGTTCAACTTGTTGGGAACCCAATGGGTATAAACAAACCTCCAAGGGAAGATACAACAGAAGCTGCATGCTCACTGAATATACACAACTACAGGAGAACTGATCACCAAGGAGACTTTAAAATGGAACTCCTTTCAAGACTCCTTCTTAGAAGGCACATCGGTATGATGCTCATCAAGAAGCTTGATAAATTCAGAGGTATCTTGCTTATCCTGTATCATCCTGGATGTCTTCAGTGCTATATATTCTTCAATATTTATGCTGAAAAATGGGCTTCATTTTGCTGAAAAGATTCATTTGCTTGTAGCTACCATTGCACTCCAAAAAAGACTGCTTAAAGCAGTGAGGCACTTCTGGGTAAAATTTCTCTTGTACTTTGAAACACTACAAAATTAGTGCTAGGTCCTTGAAGCTTTAACTTTTTTATAATAAAAATACTCAATAGGAAAAAAATATCAGTCCACCAATACAGAAAAAATTCATTTTCTAATGCAATATAAAACCTCCAGTGGCTCCAGTGAATACTTGGCACAAGACTTGAAGGAAGTCAGGACACTGGTATTCCAAACAGGTGAGCCTAATATGGACGCTGCCTTCCTCAGGCTATACTAACCTTTACTGTGGAGGAATGTGATGGAGAAGGGTGGGTATCAATTTTGCGGCGTTTTTGTTCTGTTAGGACAAAAAGAAATAGTCAGAATAAAATAGGTTTCCAATCTTTCAAACTATTTTTTTTTCAAAAAATGAACTATTAACATCAACAATTACTCTTTCTCCTAGCAAAATCCCTATAACTTGTCAAAACAAACAATAATCAACTATGCATCAAAATGATAAAAGGTAGACAAATATAAACAAAGATATACTTGCCCCTTTCAGGCTCTGCAATATCTGATCGGGGAACAGGTGACTTCAAGGACCCAGAAACTGGTGTTTTTTCTCCTCCTTTAACATTTTCCTTTGATTTCATTTCCTTTGCTATATCTCTTTCTCTCGATGGCTCCTTTTCTCTTTCCCTTTCTTGAGTTGATTTTGCTTCTACATTGGGGACAGTAGTTTTGAATTTTTCATCTTTAGCTTTTTCTTCTTTCTTGAATTTTTCTTTCTCTTTGTCAGACTTAGGTGTTCTTTCCTTGGTCTCTCTTGCTTTTTCATCTTTATTTGGCCGCTCTTCTTTTGGTTTTTCTTTACCATCTTTACCAAGTACCCTGGCCTCTGGAGTAGCAGCTGGAGCCTTTTCTTTTTTCTCTTTTTCTTTCTCTTTCCCTTTTTCTTTGTCATTTTCTTTAACAGCTTTGCTGCTTCAGAATAAAAAACATAGAATTTTAAGACAATTATAAAACACAGTCTATGTTTAAAATCATAAAGAATGTCTTACTGATTCTAAAAATTCTAGAAGAAAACTAAATGACAACCTCAAAACAAGTAAAAAGGAGTAACTTCTTTATCCAGTAAATAATAATTTCATCAATGAACACCCGCCTGTAATCTCAACACTTAGGAGACTGAGGCAGAAAGACTGAGTTCAAGGACAGACTAGGCTAGTGAATTCAAGGCTACTCTCAACTACAATGCTAGACCCTGCATTGAAAACAAACAAAAAAAATACATGAATCAATGATTAAAATAATGTCAGGTTTTGTATCCATTCATAACCTTGTAGGCTAATAAGGCAACGACCAAAAATATATTCCATAAACCAACCAAGGGTACTACTATGGGGAAACAGATCACTGAGATAGATGGATAACTATTCTAAATTAGTGTGGGGTTTTTTTATGTAAACTAGCCACACATAGATCCCCTAGAGCAATAGCTCTATCCTAAATTTTATTTTGTTTTAAACTTTACCACCTACATTCCCCACCTCAGCAAGGGAAAGAAAGCTGTTATATAAAACATAATTACATAGAATATTATTAGGATAGTAAGTACATTATTAAAATTAAGACTACCTATAAAACTTCAAAATCCAGCATAAATGACTTCCATTCAACTCAACTACTATCCCCTTCCATTCATGGTTAATGAAACCAGTTACATATGAATGCAGAATTGTGACAAAAGTCAATGGTCCTACCTGTTAGCGCCACTATTTCCATTGTTTGAATTTCCTTTAGGTGTGGCACTAGAAACTTTATTAACAGCTTTCACACCACATTGAGATCTCTCCCTTGATTTATCTGAAATAAAAGTAAAAATTTCTTTTAACAAGAGCCTAAACATAAATATACTACCATTTCACAGCAAAATGATTGGAGCTTAATTAAGAATCAGCAAGCTGATTACATATTAACAGTTACCTAGAAAATGAAGTAATACTAGGCTTGCATTGTTTGTCATGTGATATAAACAGAACATTTCACTTTGCTGAAATAAAATGTATCATTACATAAATTTCTACAAATAAGCATACCAGTCTCCTCAGTACTGCTCTCATCCGATTTAGATGCACTTCCTACTGATGATGAAGGCCCACCACCAGGCCCATTTTGTACACTGGCAACAGCATTCCTCGGAGGAGGGTCTTTATGATGAAACTCATTTTCTGGTATCATGTATGACTTTCTACTTTTCAACTGCCCAGAGTAGCTGAAAGTCGCACAAAGTGTTTAAATATACAAACACAAATCAAAGTGCAAAAACATGGGGTTTAAATGAATAAAATTAGCAAGTTATTCACTCAGCTATTTGGTTCCAGAGGGAAAAAGTTGATTTTTTTAAAGTTATTAAAAATCTTTCAAGAGAGCCCTATCTACTTTCATAAAAATAAAACTGATCCTTAAAATTTGACTGTTGCTCTTGAAGAGCTGATAACGATGATGATAAAATTACAATTCCGCCCATTCATGTCATATTATGTGACTTTTGAAGCTCTCATCCAGTATAGACCGGAAGTTGATAATCAGAAGTGACAACTCTCACCAGCCTGTGGGAACATGATCGCATAATCTCCCATAATCTCCTGAAGTAAGGCAGAAGATAAACTTCAACACTGTAAAACATTTTAAAGTCTTCAGAATTCTTCTGTCATCTATTCTCACAAATTACATTAAAGTATAATTTTGTTACCCCATAGCCAATGCATATAGATCTGGCCTCTTCTCTTTTTCTTCTTGGCAGATTTTATGCACTCTTCTTTCCAAAGCCTGACCCAGATTCAAAACTTTGGGGTACCACGGAAGTATTTTTGTTAGCACAATCAAGATATTCCTGATGTGAGTATATTCGCCTGTTTCAAGGCAATGAACTGATGCCTACAAAAAACAAGTTAAGATCCATTATAAAACTATAAGTATGAAGAGAAAAAAATTAGCTTTGAAAATTCAGATTTTATTTTACCTTCGTTAGTTTGTAATGCCATTTATGTACCACATGTCGAAAATTTTCATAATCTAATTGATCGGCTTTATTTCCACCATCAAATCCAGTTGCCCGTAATATGGTAAGGAACCCTGGATAGTTTCCACATTCCTAAATAAGGGGGAAAAAGTTTGTCACTATTAAAAGTTGTATCCCACAAAATAGCAAAGTTGAAATCTAAGTAGACTAGATCAGTGATTCCACAAAAAACAGCACGTGCATCTGGATGATAGGTTGCTTTTGCAGAAAATTTTAGCTTATTCAAAGATAGTAACTTAGTTTGAAATAGAATTAAAAAGTATATCACTTCTTAATGCATTAATTATGCCTTTACACACCATTTTACAAGTGAATCAAAATCAGCTTTCCTTTTAAAATTGAGTAATATAAAGATTACTGAAAATAGTCATTATACACATAGGTAAAATATTACAGATATTTATTAGCCATACCTTTTCATATGTGGCTCTATCACTATGCCACCTGGTCACAGTCTCTAACATACAGCAAAGAAATCTCCCATATCGGCTAGCTTCATTTTCAGTACAGCTTGCAACTGTGTAAATAATATCAGAGAAAACCTACAGGAAAAAAGAAAAGTTTGGGGAGGGAAAGGAAGGTCAAAATCAGTTGAAAATATTAAAGAATTGTTATAGAAAAATAGTAATAGGCAAATTAAGCCAAAACTTGAAATTGGAAGAAATTGTTCTAAAGGAAAATGGAACTAGGCTGGGGGAAAGAGGAAATGAAGAAAAGGAAAAGGGAAAAAAATACCAAAATGCAAGTTACTTATACTCCTTGTTTCTTTTAGTTCATTTAAAAGAAGTTTTGTAACTAATATGGTTTAGGGAATATTTTATGCCCATGTCTTATAGTCTGATAACTTCTTTAATGATAATAACATTCAATGTATTAATTATTATTTTATTATTTTGTTATGAAATTTTGTTTTAATTTTTTCCATAAAATTAAAAAAAAAAACTTTTGAAGATTCTGGTTTTTGTGGGGAAATAGCATATTTATAAATCAAGCAAAAAATATTATAAATAAAATTGATTTACAATGACTCAACAACTATCATTATTACTACATAATAGCTTCTTAATGACAACCATATAAATGACTGGAATTTGGGGAACAACTTTCAAAGTTGATTGAAACTAGAAATAGATAGGCAGCAAATACGATATAATGTATATGACATCTCTAAACCACAAAAGGGAGTTAATTTATTATAAGAAAATGCCAAGCTCGCCTCCCTGGTAAGCAGCTGTGGTGTAGTAGGCTATGGCTACTCCAGGGAGAGAACCACCAGCAACTCCTGAGATCCACACCATGTTGGAATTTAGGGCGCTGGGAAACCAAGCAACCAGCTCACCTCCCTGGTAAGCGGCTGTGGTGTGGCAGGCTGCAGCCTCCCCAGGGGGAGAACCACCAGCCTCTCCTGAAATCCACGCCATGTTGGATCTTAGGGCGCTAGAAAACCAAGCAATCAGCTCGACCCCCCGGTAAGCGACTGTGGCTCAGCAAGCTGCAGTGTCCCCAGGGCAAAAACCACCAGTGACACCTGAGATCCATGCCATGTTGGAACTTAGGGGGCTGGGAAACCAAGCAACCAGCTCGCCTCCCTGGTAAGTGGCTGTGGCTCAGCAAGCTTCACCAGCCCCAGGGCAGGAACCACCAGTGACTCCTGAGATTCACGCCATTTTGGAATTTAGGGCGGTGGGAAACCAAGCAACCAGCTCAACCTCCTGGTAAGTGGTAGTGAGCCTACTGGCACACAGGCTGAGAATCAAACATCACACCACCACCCCCATAAGCAAATGGGAGCCAGAGATCTGAGCATCTCTTGGGAGGTTGACCATATGCAATATAGCAAATAAGGGGGATTTCCTTCTACCATCTCTTTGCAGGCAAATATTTTTACCACTGTTTTGTTTTATTCTGATTAATGGTATTGCTCTATTCAACACTGTTTTGGTAATTTCTATAATATCATTGTTTTGGTTTATTTTGCTACATCTGATTAAAAGAGCAACTGTGAAGATAACGAGATATACCATGGTACCTATTACTGTTATCCTGGTAACCTGCTGTGAAGTTCTGTACCAATTTCTCTACACTGTCTAAATTGGCTTTGTTCTGTCTTGTTCTGTTGTATTTTACTACCTTCAAAATTAAAAAAAAAAAAAAAGAATACATTCCTGGAAGATGAGGAAAAAATATCACATTTGAGACAGAATTGTAACTAGATATTATGAAAATAGTTATCTCAAAAAAAAAAAAAGAAAAGAAAAGAAAACGCCAGATACAAAACCTGTGAATATGGTCACACTAAAAAGCTTCCCTGATTTTATGTCTAAAGGTATAAAGCTTTTCTGCTGAATTTCTGGGGTTTGGTTTGTTAGTTTATTTGTTTTTCAAGGAGTCAAGACTAAGACTTCTACTCATGATGATAAGAGAAACTGAAGCACAGCGAAGTCCTTTGAAAGATAACATAGCTAGAAAGTAGGTAGAGGGCCAGGTATAGTGGTTTACACCTGTATATCCAGTACTTGGAAGGCTGAGACAAGAGGATCACTTCTGAGTTCAAGGCCAGCCTGGGCTACAAAGTGAGTTCAAGGCCAGCCTGAACTGCACAGTGAAGCCCTTTCTGAAAAAGACTACATAAATAAAGTACCAGATTAGCTAAGATTCAAGTGCATGCACTTGAGTTCATGCTTTTAATCACACACACAATACTTCTATAGATAACAACATTTAGTTATCACTGTATGAGACATTTTTTAAAGTTACAATAAAAAGAACTTACTCGATCATAGCAAAGAAGTGTTGAAAAATTTGGAGTTTTCTGTTGATGTACCAATTCAACAAAACGAGCACAGTAAACGGCATCAATTGCTGAAAAAATACATCGAGGAAATATACACAGCTGTAGAAATTTTGTGATGGTCTCATTTTTGGTAGATTCTAAAAATAAGGGAAGAATATATTAAGTAGTAAACTTCTTCCTCAAGTGTTTCATGCCCACTAAACATGACAACATATTAATTTTAGTATATGAATGCTATAAAACCACAAACTACTTATAGCTTATAACCACTCATGCCTAGGGTAAGACTATTATTTTCATTCTATGAACATTTTTCTATTTATCATTTTCCCAGAAATATTTTATTCAGAAAAGTTGAATGAGAAACTGTCGAAATTAGTTATAACATAATGAATTTCACCAGTAAACTAAATTAATTCCTTCAAGTGAACATGTTTTTTTTTTTTGCATTCATGAATAATCAAAGAATGATTAATTCATGAATAATCAAAGAATGGGCTAGTGAATGCTGAGTTGAAACAGAAACAACGTACTTCAACACTTCCAAATTGTACAGGTTTGCATTTGTAATTTAATAGCAGGAATATAATAATGCCAACAACTTACTTGCTAAAAGCCAGTTGTCCTTTTCCAATTTGAGTCTTTGTAGAACTCTCTGTACATGTTCCATCTGTTTTTTTTCTTCTTCAAGAAGTTTATCCTGGAGGGCAGTACAACGTTCCTTCTCTTTTTTCTTTTTATTTGGAGGCTAAGAAGTAGAATTGAAACAGTTTTCTACTATATACTATTACCTCTCTTCCTTTGACTACAAAATTTAGAGATAAATGTTGACACTTTGTAATTATTTCAACACAAATGTACACTAGACCTACTTGAATATACTTTCACCTCCATTCACACCCAAGACAATGACTTACTCTTCTTACACCATTTAAACAGGTCACCTTCCGAAATAGGTAATAAACCACCTGAGGCACTGATCAATTCATCTTTCACAGTCTCTGCTCTTTCATTCCTATATCCCCACTTAAGCAACCTTCAAACTACTGTCATAATCTTTTAAAGTACTACTTTTTTTACTATTATCACTTCCCTGCTCACATATTCAAACCAGCTCTAAATTTAAGCAAGCCAATTTTTCATGTGACTTTTAGTACCTTATATAATCTGATACCAGCCTAATTTCTCACTAAGTCTATTCTATACAGGAAAAGTGATCTCCCTCAGTCCTCATACTACTTCCTGCCTTTGCTGAAACCCTGTAATGGCCTCTTTATTGGCTCCATATTTCTACATCGAATATACCTTCAAGGTCTGCACAATTCTAGACTCAGTTCTTCAACAAAGTCTCATAATGTGCTGCCCTTCTGGAAACTCCTACTGCTCTTACAACTGGAATCATATAGATCACTTTGACATACTACATAGTGTTCAGTAAAAAATCAAATGCAAATGTCTTGTTTTGTTTTGTTTTGCTTTGGTGGTGATGGTACTAGGAATTTTAACCGAGGGACGTCAATCTACTTCCCCATCTTTTTTAACTTTATTTATTTATGGTACTGGGGATCAAACTCATGACCTAGCGCTTACCAGGCAAGCACTTATGCCACTGAGCTAAATTCCTGGCCTTTACTTTATTTTGAGATACAATCTCACCAAGTTGTCTGAGCTAGACTCCAACTTTAAATCCTCCTGTCTCAACCTCTTGAGTAGTTAGAATTACAGATGGGGACCACAATGCCCAGCCATAGAAGTCTTTGATTAGTCATAATTTTACCCTTTTACTAACCCCTGCTTCACATGCTCTGTAAGGTTGTACTTAAGCCCAGTTAAGAAAATATTATCCAGCAAGAGGATCATAGCTTCAACGATCCTGAGCTAAAACAATTATGAAGTATAGATATCACTGAATTAATATCATGAAGTTATTATACTTAAACTACCTGAAGAAAAACCTACCATTTCCTGATTGTCATCAATTGCTTTCATCTGGACTTTAAGCTTATTGACTTCTCGCTCATAGCTGGTATGTGGAACAGCAAGGTCATACATTGTCAATGACCAGAATGTGGCATAAAATTGAGGACTGATGTCATCCCAGACTTTGGAAACATGTAAGGAGACCACTGCTTCATGAACAGGAGCCATCACCATCTCACATGATGTAATGTACTTATGAACTTTATGCTGCTGTTTACTTCCCTTTTCTGATTTTTTAAGTTCATCATACTTTGACTGGAAATAAAAGGTAAAAACACACATACTTATATAAATATACATGTACAACAAAGTTTATAGCTTTAACTTTTGTGATACAAAAACCCAGAAGATGACCATCTTAAAACTATTAGGAGAATTCTAGTGTCTTACCAACAATACTTATTTTCAGGTAAGTCATCCCTGGAAGTTACTGGAATCTTTAGTTTCATTTCTGGGTAGAAGTTTATTGTAAGATTTATTTTTAACAAATCTAACCTGATTAGTGAATAGAATATGTTTGCTTCTATCCATCCCACCCCTCCGTATTGTTTTACTGCTGTATCTGGGATACAGAACCAAGTAGTGGTCTTAACTTTAGTGAAGTAGAATAAAACTAGAAATATCTAAGCAGGACAAAATGTAGTGTCATTACATGTAGTTCCAGCCAGCTATTAGAATTTGTCAATTAAGAAGCTGGGTTAATACTTAAGAAAGGTTATGAGAAAATTAATTTAAGACTGCTAAGTAGGGTGACCAACTGCCAGGCTTGCCAGGGTTTTAGGGGTTTCCTAGGACATAAGAATTTAGTGCTAGAATTGGGAATGTCCCAGGCAAACCAAGACCAGTTGATTACTCTAATTCAGAGCTAAATAAAATTTTCTATAAATACCTGTGGCACACTGAAGTTTAAAGCCATGTGAGAACTGATGCTACAGCTTCTTTGGAAGAAGGCCATATTCTTAATTATATGAGAAAAAAAATCTGTTAGTGCAATGGAATGGACTGCATATTAGTTTAGTGTATGCTAAAAGTGAAAAAGATTACTACAAAGTAAAACTGCTGTTATTGTCTCGTGTCCTTCAGTCTCTTTAGGACAAAAGAGCTCTCACAGAGAAAATTTCACTTGGGTTATGCATCATCTTTAAGGTGCCCCTAAGAGAAGTCCTAAAATTAGTTGCTTTTTTATGTCAGAAAAGCATATAAATCAATTTATTCTAGACATGTAACCCAGAACTACATGGTCAGTGGTCAAAGGTTCTGCTCTAGTTTTATACTACAAGGTCAGAGTCTCAACTTCTTATAATCCAGCTGCCTTCCTTCCCTATGCCCTCTAACTGAATGCCCTGGATGCTGCTTTACTGTGAATCTTTTGGACTAAAAACATAACAAGTCCTCTTTGTTACACAGAGTATCTCAAGCAGGACCTAACAGTCTTACAATTGTTCTACAAGTAGAAAGATTTATCTCCTGTTATCCCGATGTTACAGAGTATGCTGATAGCTACTGAGATTATACAAGAGACAAAGCTACAAAAAACAATTATGGCACAGCGAGTCTCAACTACATCAGAGACCTGAGACCTTTAAAAACAAAAGTTTTTAAAGTTAGAAAATAGCTCTTAATGAATGTAACTAATATGAATCTAGATGAGCAGAGTAACATCTCTTGAGGTTCTTACACAACATGGATTAAAATAGTACTGAAACGACCTGCAAAGATAGCCCAGCTACCTAATTTGGAAAAGATCTAGAATCAAACTAGGAGAAAGCCTCTTTGAGACCTGTGTCTCAAGATGAATGTCAACAATTAAAAGTGAAAATTAAGCTATTAGTATGAGAAGGTTATCTGATAGTTCCAGTCTCCCCAGTTCTCTGGTTCTAAAATGTGTAATTTCTATCATGAGACCCCTTCCTATTCCCTACCTAGTTAGAAAAATAGTCTTAATCAGAAAAGACAACTATACTTCACATTTACTTAGGATAACTATTTCTTTATCTAAAGTTATTAGTACTTCAAACTCACATCATCAGTCAAATGAAGAATAATAAATACTTTCCTACATCCCAAGTAACTTGGGAAACTAAATGTATAGAACAGAACTGACCTCAAATTATTGTACTTCTAATTGCTGTTCAAAATAGTTCTTGTTGGCCCAGAATCTGGGCAATGTTTGGTGAATTATTCCCAAGACAGCCTTGTAGCCAATTTATGAAGGGGACCTAGCAGTCCTCTAATACTCATGCATTTTTCCTCTCTTATCAAAGGCTCTTCAAGAGAGTATTTCACCTGAGAAAGAAAAGCAAGTATCCCCAGGGCAGTCTGAGTACCTGTCCAGTGCTTCCTAGGTTACTGGGGGAACTCCTTTTTGACAGAAGTATAAATGGCCTATTAGATAGAAGACTAGTTGAGGCTTGGGCTATACGGCTACTTCTATATACTTGTTTTCCTCCTCAACCCTGCCTGAAAAGGAAAGATCATTTACTTTATTAAAATTTGTATTTCTTAAAAGACAAAGAAACAATATTTTACACAGGCTAGGGGGGAAAAAGACAGCTACTTGTATCCACAACTTGGTTGTGACTGCGAATAGCTCAGGCAACAAGTGTTCCTGTTTGCTAGGGTTCACTTCTATTGATTAGTGTGTTCAATTCTGAGTATAGCAACAAGTCAGAATTGCTGATTTGAAACAATTCTCCCATCTCAGTCCTTCAAGAAAAGAGGTACCTTCTAATTACTGCAGAATGGGTCTAAATAAAGCATGCAATTCTCCAGATGGACAGAGTCTAAAGGGAAAAAAACTTTACTTCCTTGTTCCCCCCTAGAGTATAAAAGAGCTAAGCGCTAATAAAGTGGTAATTAAGCAACATTGAGTTTGCTGTTAAGAGAGAAGTGAGAGACTATAGCAGTGATGGTGAACCTTTTAGCACTTTCAATGATAACAGCCTACTGCAGCAGCACTTGCTATAGGTTTGTCACCACCCAGCTATAGCAACTGACATATGTAAACAACACCAAATGGTTGGTTACAAGATCAGCTGAAACTCAAATTTCTTAGCACCTTTTTGTATACCTCTACTTCTGGGAATAAAGGAATCTTGATTTAAAAGAGAAGATCAAAACCTCTAAAATATGACGAAATGAAAGGTCGTGAAGTACAGACTCAAAAACAATAAACAGAAGAATGGATAGAATCCAAGCTTACAGAAGAATGAAGAATATGCTGAGGCTCCATGAACTGACTATGGTGCCAAAAGGAAAAGACAATTCCCTTTAAAGAACATTTCAAGTGCAAAAGAACATTTCAAGTGGTAGATGAAAGAGGGTCCCCCCCGCCCCCCCACCACCACATCTTTATTTGAATTTCAATAGTCAGTACTTGAATGTTATGGTTTGAAAGTTTCTGATTTACTCTGGGTCAAGTTTTATTAATAAGTTTCATTAAAGTGCAAAAAATATAAGAACCATGAACACAGTCTTCCTAAAAGTTACATATCAGATTAGACAAGAATATTTAGGGGGCCAAGAGATTCCTACACTCTTCCTTTCCTTATAGGTGTAAGCACCAGAAACCACCTATTTTGTTAACAAGCACAACCAAAAAAAACAAAACAAAAACTAAAAATTCCAAGGTACCCTTAAACTTACTGAATTAGAATTTTGGGCCAAAGGATTCTGAGTTAAGAAGCTTCCCTGGTTATTCTTATCTACTCTAATATCTAAAAACTACAGTTCTAAAAAGTCCATAAGACATCAACCTGGACAATTGATGGAGCAATAACAGTAAAATTATAAAACCAGTAAGACCGAAAAAGGACATTTTCATTGTACACTGTTGAGACATTAATATTTAAAAAAGGATAACTCTGTGACATAATCTATATTTAGGTCAAACTAAAATGCATGTAAAAATCAAATAATTGAGGAATGATTTGAAACGTTTTGTGAATGTCAACAAAGATACTTGTACTTACCGAAATATGGTGTGCATACATTGGCCTAGACAGAAAAAATGCTGCATCATGGGGTGTATGAAATTCATTACAGAGCACATCAATGGAAGGCACTCGCTTTATATAATCTTCTGTGCTTAGATTTGATGCTAAAAACCCACCAAACTGTACCAGGGTATCATGACACTAAATTTTAAAAATAAGACCAAAAACACAGATACGTTAATCATTTTAAAAAACCAACAAGTATTTTCCAAGATGATTAACATAAATCATTTTTAAAAAAAATTTTTAACAGTTAAGAATCCAAATTGTACTGTGACAACATGAATGGAACTGGAGGATAAGATGTCAAGTGAAACAAGCCCAAAACAGAAAGTAGTTACTGCATGCCTCCACTCATATGTGGAAGCTAAAATGTTGATTTCATCAAAGTAGAGATCAGAAAAGTAGTCACAAGAGGCTAGAAGGGTTTGATCACGGATATCAAAATATAACTATATAGGAGAAATCATTTCTAGTATTGTAATTGTATACAGTAGGGTGACTATCACAAAAATTTGTTATACATTTTACAAAGAGCTGAAAACAAGGATTTCAAAGGTTCCCAACATACACAAATGATAAACAGTTTAAGGAGATGTAAATGCTAATTACTAACCTGGTAATTATATACTGTATATAGATATCAAATTATTCCACTACATTCCATAAATACACAATTATTCTATATCAATTAAAAAATTAAAACTAAAAGCCTGATGCTTTCATATATTTGAATTAGCCAAGTATATATTAACCACTGTCAAAACAAAGAGAATCCAAATTCTTCAATGAAAAAGGACTTTAGAGACCATCTACAAATATAATCACATAATCACATTACAAGAAAGATGCTAACGCCCTGATAAGCTAACTAACACATATTATAATTTGCAGTGACCTCATAATCTGCAGTGACCTTATTTCTAGAATCCCTATTTGACATTAGCATTGTTTCATACTCATATGATGCACAAAAATGACACTTTTCAAATTATATCGCATTTTCTATTTCCCACTGTGAGTATTAAACCATCCATAACAACTTACCTGGTCATAGAGTTTTCCCACAAGTTTCAAATGTTTCTCTCCACCTTCCTGAAAGATAACCCCATTCCTCTGTTGAGCCATAAGTAAACAGAGAGGAAGAGCAAGATCATGGTCCAACAGTGCATCCTTTAATCTCTGAGAGGACTTTTTAGTGTTTCTGATCTGGCCAAAATAACCACCCTGCATAAGAGAAGATACAAAATCACTGATGTATAACACATAGCTCATGCCATCTTTTTTGAAAAAGACAGGAAAGTTGAGTTCCAATATTTAAGATAAAATATTCCTGTATTATACATTCCTTCTCCTTCACAAATTTATGTTAGTGACACTATTATTGATTATACTCTGGCTTAAAGGTTAACTGTCAATTGTGTTTAAACTTCTGCATACACTCCCTTCGCATCTTGTAGTCCTTTATACAGGTTTACATTTTTCAGTATTGAAGAGACTCAATAAAGTAACTATGTTAAGATTTATAATAGGAGGATATCAAGGACGACCACAGAAAATTTCTTTTTAATACAAATGTATTACTTTTGTTGTTCATATTATTTTCCGTTTTTTAAAAAAAGATTACAATATTAGTATATCTCAGTTTTTAAAGAGAGAGGTGAGGGAATGTGAGAAAAGGATATACATAACTTTGACTTTATGTACAGTACCTATAAATTGCTTGTTTTCTATACTATGACCATGCACAAAGTAGAATTCCTCTTTTCTGCAGCAGATTCCAAGAGTCAAAACAAATGCTTGAAATTGCAAATGGTATAAAACTCCATACATGACATATTTTCCTCATACATACACACCTAAGCTTAATTTATAAATCTAGTACAGTAAGAGAGTAACAATGAGATAGAAAAACCATTATATATAATAAAAGTTATATGAATATGGTTTCTTATACGATCTTATGATGTGAGATGATACAATATACATATATCCAATGACATGAAGGACATACACATTTTGATGTGCCATTAGGTTATTTAAGTAAGGAATACGTGAATACAACTAATGTAATAGACTCAGTCTGATAGACAGTCAATCTTGGGCAGGTTGTGTGTACAGTGCAGATATGATAGCCAAACATAATTGACATCAAGGTGAGAGAGGACTGGGAAGACACAAGATTTCACCATGCTACTCAGATTGGGACTCAAATTAAAATGTATAATTTGTTTTTAGATTTTTCCATTTAATTTTTTCAAACCATTGTTGATTGGGGTAATTGAAACCTTCAAAAGCAGAGTCATGGGGAAGGAAGTACTAGTATACATTTTGCATCTAAATAGTCAATAAACAAAAGTAGCAGCCCCCACCTCAGCTTTCAACTGCTCACCGCCTGTCATAGCCTCTAGTTGTTCCATTGTCATTTCCTCCGTAATTTCTATTCCTGCCATTTTTTGTACCACTTCTTTCAATATAAGCAGGTCAAAACTATTCCAAAAAATAAAAAAAATCTATAGTTAAAACATATATAAAAGTGACAATACATTATAATTAATATACTTAGAATTCATGATTTGTACATAATATGAGATTAATGTAACTTAAGAAAAAACTGCATTCTTTAGATGAATATATTTAATTTGTACCTGGAAATTACTTCAAACTATAAATAGACTATAAAGAACACTCAAAAACCCTTTATCCCAAGTTTACAATTTTTTGTTTGGCTAAAGGATCCACCACTTTATTCTCAGAAAGCGATGGCCAAAGACCAGGACATACAGAGACATTCTGGCCACACAGAAAGAGCAAGTTAGCCATCCTAAAATCAGAGTACAAAACAAAGCCTCCAGCTTTCATTCACACTCAGCCAGATGAAGTTTCAATTTTACAATTTTTACTTTTGCTCTATCATTTACATTTTCTCTTCCTCCCTCCCCTCCTCCACACACACAATGTTTTTAACCATCTTAAGGCAAATCATTTAAATCATGGCCTTGTAACCCCTAAAATTCCTAAGAAGAGATCTGTTCTCTTACACAATCACAGAATAGTTATCAATTTTAGTAAACCTATCACTCAAATTTCATTTTTATCACCTGTCCCAATAATGTCCTTCGTAGTATATTTCTTCTCTATAATACAGGACGGCCAATATATTTTTGATGGTATAAAGTCATATCTCTAAAGAATATACTTACTAAAAATGAATAAATCTATAGAAAGGCCATACACACTTAGAAAATAGAAAAAAAGAAAAACTGGTAACTAAACCTGGTAGTTGGTTGGCTAGTCCTAAGTACATTTTAATAATGTGTCAACAGGAATGCATTTTAAATCTCAAAATTTAGGCCCATCAATGGAAATAACATCTAGTGACTTTTAAGATTTTCTAAGTTTTTCCAAAGGTAAAGTATGATATACACAGGATATAAGCCAGGGCAAGGAAAGTTTTCTAATATTCTTTGCTAGAGTGTTTATTTTCTCAAATTGCCTTGCTTTCCCTAAAGACAGTTTTTCAAAGCAAGGTAGCCTCATGCAAATTAGTGTACAAGTATCAATAAAATATTTTAATTTTTTAAAACTACATATTTAATTACATGGTCAAAGAAATATAGACATAGTACAGAGAAGTTATAAATTTAAAATAATGTGTCCTACTGGACTACAGAGAAGTGTGAAATACATAGCAAATGGTGATGCATGAGTATATCATAAATGATAGGTTGACCAAACCCTGAGACTACACAATTTCTGAAGTTTTCCCAAAGGTTAAATAACAATCTTTCAAGAATTACTTGAATATATTTGTTTAGAACACCAGATAGCTTCTAATTTTTGTTTGTTTTCTTTCTACCAGGAAGCTTTTGGAAACAATTTCTGATTCTTTGACTCTAGTTAAGCTACTGCTGAAGTTTAATATACAAGGGGGTGATAATAAACATTACATACATACATACATATATATATATATATATATATATATATTTAAATTTTAAATTAAACTAAAGATCACATTGCCAAAAACAGTAAGACAAGTGTGCTATTAAGCTTTCACCATATTTTCTGAGAATACCTCACTGATCAGAATTTTATGGCAATTTCTGTCAAATAAAAACACTACAGTGTGTATCTTCATACACTATTCACTGGACCTGGTACCATGAGATTTTAGTCTTTCCCCAAGGTCAAAGTGACCACAATACATAAATATTTTGAAACAATTCAAGACACGAACACAGTCACGACAGCATACACTTATGAAAGAGAAGCTCCAGAACTGCTTCCAGAATGATAGGATAAGGGTATTCAAAGAAGGAGGAGTGTGTTAAGGATTCATAGCAATGTGTCTTTCACTATAGTAATGTTTAAAATTTAAACACTCACCTTACTTTGTGATCACACCACACATACATTAATTCAAATTCTAAACACTGATACTTGCCCAGAATAAAATAAATGTCAGTACTTATAAAGAGAACATTGTCCAAATGGCAGGTAAGCCTTTCATATCTTTAAAGTTCAAATTCAAAATTATGCTTCAAAATACTATATATTCCTTAAAATATACATGTTTCCACCAGATACTTAATACAGAAAAGGTTTATTACTGTCCAGATGCATAATCAATAGTGTAAAATGTTTTGAAGGCTATACAGTATATCGCTGTTCACTACCAAAAGGCCTAAGACTAGGTAGTCAAAACAAGTAAAAGTATCTTTTTAGTGGGTTATATATACAGCCAAATATTATTTACTTGTACAGAAAAGGTATCCTTCATGTATGAAGTTATAACTTCCTTAAACAATTTCATACTAATAAGCAATTATTATTCTTGATCCTACAATAGCCTTTCAGGATTGTAGCTATTTCAGTATTTCAAAACCACTAGAAGTACTCTAATTATAGAATTTCATCTATATGTAATTTCTTACAATTACCTTTTGCCTGCCTTTAATTGATTGGCCACATACTGCAGAAGACCAGCAAGATCAATTGGATATTTACGAAAAACTGCACCACAGAAACTAGCCAAACCTATATAAAATTAAAAAAAAAAAAAAAACAGAATCAAAACAGTTCATAACACAGAAAGCACATTAGGAATCATTTCTTCAACTAACTCAACTTCTAAAACAAAATGAAGTAGAAAGAACTGTACTGCTGATGCCATGAAATGAAGTTTTACAATAACAATAGTTAAGATTTATTGAGTACACATATGTCAAATACCATACCAAGCACTTTATATTGACTTTCTCATTTAACCCTCACAGCAATCATCTTAGTTTTGTATAACTCTATTGATGAGGCAAATTCAGAATAGACAGTAACTAGTCATGGTTTTAAAACACCTGCAACACCAGCTCGCAGGAAGCTGAGGCAGGAGCATCACCATGAATTTGAGGCCAGCCTGGACTACATACTGACACCCTTTATCAACCTCCCAAAACAAAACAAAACAAAAAACATACGTAATTTCCTTGTGGTCACATAGCACAAAATAGGCCATTGGTTTAAAATGAACCAACCTGATTAAGATACAACAAAAACTTACATGTCATTATGTAAATTTAAACAAGATCCCTGCTCCTCAAATGTCTGAGTCAAAAAAATTTCTTTTTATCTCAAAAGCTGCTACTAACTGTAGAGGATCAAGAAAACACATAAATATTGTCAGACTAAGAAACAGACAAATGACCAGTTTTAACCAATAGTCCTCATAATATCATAAGGGAGAAGGAAACTACAGTCCAGACAAGAGGAGCAGAGTCTAGTAATCTGTAGATTATTCAACAATTGTTTGCTAAGCACATAAATGATATTAGACAAAATATAGGTCCTGCCCTTAAAGATCTTATGGTCTAGAGGGGGATACAAAAAATAAAATGCAGTGCCTACAATGAATAAAAAGCCCAATGGGAATACAAAAGAGGAGGACTTAATTCACACTTGCATGTAAGAATATTAACCAAGAAAACTCTCTAAAGGAAATGACCCATATTCTGAAATTGAACAAATGCCAGGTGGACGAGGGAAGATGAATGGTCACGAAAGAAAAATCCAAGAGGAAGGAATAACATGCAAAAAGTCTATAGAAAGCACAACAAGTTCAATATTAATGGAACCCAGACTAATGTGGGGAGGGGATAAGGTTACAACAGTGCAGAACTGATTTTAAAAGCAACTAATTACACGACTTAAATATTTCAAACTATAGGTCAATAAAGAATGAATGAAAGATTTCAGTATCAAAATAACAGGTTGAAGAAATAGAAGTGGTGTGTAAAACTCAAAGGTACATGAAATAAAAAGATACATGTTTAGACATTTTGGTTAATAGTCAAATTTATGTTCTTTTAATGATAATCAGAATCTCAGATTTGAAGAGCAAGAAGCATGAGTCCTCTAATAACAGTAGTCAAAGAGATGATGATTCTTTTTCTTTTTTGTTACTGGGAATCAAACTCATGACCTCTCACTTGCCACTGAGCTATGTATCCCTGGCCCATGAAGATGATTTTTACCTCCCCAATAGTGCTGCTCCAAATTTTATCAAAGTCAAGGACAGTCTCAGTTCATGAAAAGTAGTAAGGAGCAAACAAATGTCTTTATACAGCCAAGAACTTGAACACTGTAGAACAAGCCGAGTGGCTAGACAATCTTTTAAGGACCTCTTGACAAATAAGCTCTTAAAAGTCTAAACATAGGTAACACAATACAAAAAAAGTCATTAGTACCAACAGTAACTTCATTTTTGAAAAAAAAAAAATACATACTCTGAAGCCAGCTGGAAATGGTTGTATCATCATGTTTCATTCTCTCCTTTTCTGGATTAGCTAAAGCTTCAATGATACAATCTTTCATGAGTTAAGAAAATATTTTGTCATTACATATCTAACAAAGACCCTTATACAAAAGAAATGCTATATTTTGGGAAAAAATAAAACTCTTTGCTTCAAGTTATTATGAAGTATTTTTAAAATACTCATTGTCGTACTGATTCTTCTTCCTTAGCCTCTTTTGCATCTTTCAGCAAGCAAGAGTCCATTATCAAGCAATTTGACAAATCTAACATCTTTCCCTTTATACAACACAAAAGTATTCATACACACACACACTCATGTTCTCTTTCAGATTCTTTACTTAGTAAACTTCAGCCACCTGAATCAATCTGAGATAGGTTACTTGGCAAATAAATCATTCATCATTACAATCTATGCACTACTTCACTTGAAAGGATACAGGCCAAGACATCATAATTCAATGAAGTGAGGTATTTCAATGAGTCTACTACAGGTGTTATCAAGTTATCATACTTCTGTATTTGTGACAAGATCTAGAAGATAGCAACGAACAACAGATGGTATTAACTAAACAAAAAAAAGGGTTTCTACTATGCCAAGTAAACAATATAGTTTTTCAAAAAAGAAAAATAAAGTGGTTTCCTATAATTTCATATTTGAATAAAGCTTATGCTATCATTGCCATTGAGAGTATTTTCCTTAAATATATTTTCAAATTAGAAAATAATTAGAGGAGGTCCAAGTTTGGATAATGGAAAGATAGTTTTATCTCAAATGTGTGTTAGGATTTTTCTAAAAAATGAAATAGAAAGTCTTGTGTGTTCAAATCCCAGTACAAAACAAAACAAACAAAAAAAAAAAAACGCCTTGTGTGGTGGTGCATGCTTGTAATCCCAGTAGTCTGGGAAGCTGAGACATGAGAATCACCAAGTTAGAGACGAGGCTAGGCAACTTAGTGACTAAGCAAGACCTTGTGTCAAAATTAAAAATAAAAAGGGCCAAGAATGTATTTTGGTGAAGAGGCCCTTGTTCAACCCTAGTATGGCACTGAAAAAAAAAAACAAGTTGTATCTAAATCACAATGAAAAGCTTTTCAAATGTTTCTAAAAGCTACAAATCAGCAAATGCTTCTAGAATAAACAAGACAGCAAAGTATTTATAATATCGGCACTGTCTTGTGTACTAGGAAAAATCAATGTATTAAATACATTTATACAGTAATTTTGTTTAGCATAACTTGACATTTCACTTGCTAAAGATTTTCTCCCTAAAACTACCACTTTAAAACACTAGTTTAAACATTTTTTTCCACTAGTGCTGATTTTAAAGCAGCTAAACAAAAATATTCCTTAAAACAATATTAATCTCAAGACATACATAATCAAACAAAATGGTTGGATTGCTGTGGCTCAACTTCCCAATTTGTCTTCCTGAAGGCTTCACATTTTCCTTGGTTAGCCTCCTACAAAGGGAGAAAAAGGTGGCAGGGATCATCTTAAGTAACATTATTCATAAGGCCAAAAGCTTTGAAACATCACAGTAGAAAAAGCAATTCTTTCCTGAATATCCAAAATGGATCAATGTAGACAACTGTATTCACCATATACTGTACTCTACTGCAATAACTGTGGTTTGGAATGTTCCCAAAGGACATACAAATTTTATACTAAATGCTTAATATTTATAAAATATACATTTCAAGCACTGAGGAGGCTGGGATAGGAGGACTGCAGCAAGGTCAAGGCTAGCCTGGGCTACATAGTGAGTTCAAGCTTGCCTGAACTGTACAATAAGACCTTTTCTCAAAAAATTTAAAAAAAAAGAAAATATACATTTCCATTTTATAGTAACAGTCTACAATTCATTTAAATTCTTGATATACTCAACAAGTACATAAAATTCTTTTTATAGTGAATCATAATTATTTTAGATGTAGAAGGGTTATCAGTTTAATGATTAAGGATATCCAGTGTGGTGCAATGCAACGAAAAGCCTCATGCTATCCAGTTCAATAGCTCTTATAGAATAAAAGCAAATGTGACACTCCTAAATAAGTTCTGTTGATTTCATATTCAGGGAACACATTCCTAAAATATTTTCTACTTTTTTCCTTTTTTTCCCCTAAGCTTAGTATTCTTTTACCAACATTTTGTGAATATCAATGAAATTCTTACAGCTCAAAACAACTATTACACAGAACCTTAAGCTCCTCTGAATTACATAATAAATCTAAAAACTTAAATGTGGAAAGGCTACAAACAAAATGAAAGAGGCTTTCTAAAATGAAAATAAGTTTTGAATTTAGTTTATAATTCAAAGAATATGACCATTCTAGAAATACCAAACAATATAATTACCTGAAGAAGCTTCTTAAAACAAAAAAAGCCCACCCAATATTCAATATGATTTCATCAGCTGCTTCTCCTTTTACTCTACATAGCCTACCCCATTCCCCTCCTACTGGAGAAAACAAGTAATTAGTTTTAACCTTTGTTCTACCTCAAATTTACTACCATCTGTCCCTATTTCTAGTCATATTTCAGGTGTCCCCCTACTTGCCAAGGATAACCTCCCACCCCACACACTCAACCTGGCTTTTTATTTCATTTCCTTTTACCTCTACCACATTAGTAGGAAAAACAAAAATTAAAGGAATAGTTTCTTGGTTTTGTTTTACACTCAAGCTTTTCACGGTATCTAGCATACAAAACACAAGTAATGATCATCTGTAGAATTGAGTACTCTATAGCAAGCATGGGGCTTTTTATTGTTTTTGTTTTTATGAGACATGATCTCACTTTAGTTCAGACTGACTTTGAACTGACTATTCAGCAAAGGCAGGTCCCTAACTCATGGTGATCCTCCTACCTCAGCCTCCAGAGGTGATTACAGCCATGTGCCACCAAGCCTGACTACAAGCTCACTGTTCAATTAAAGAAGTATACAAACTTTGTGAAATTCTACCAGTGACAAATTAATACATTCCATTTTCAATGTAAAAAGTTCAAACAATACTAAACTCAAAGTCTTCAAGCTTGGTGATATAATTACAGCTTATAAATATAACAAAAACCCAGTATATTTATTAAAAACACAGTGTTCTACATTATATTTTTATTCATTTATTCATTCATTTTAATGCTTACTATGACAAATTATTAACCATTACGAATACAAAGATGAATTACTACTCTCAAGCTTGGTCTAGATGGGGAAACAGATTTAAAACCATTTTTTAAATTTCTATATTCTTTTTTAAAAACAACAAATTTCAGAACAATACTTATATGATGTAAATAAAATTTAAAAAGAGGATAATATATTTGTATTGTCCTGTATATACATAAAAATACCTGGAAAGATAAATAAGAATCTAAACACTAGTTACTTTTTTTTGTATTGGGAAAGAACTGAGTGGACCAGGATGAAGTAAAAGACTTTTTACAGTATAGCTTTTCTCTTGGGTATGTTTAGGAGGCACAGCGTGATGTTTCGATCTTTGTATTTTAATGGATTTTATTTGGATTTTTTCTAGCAAAAGTCAAGTTAATTAACACTGTGGCACCAATTTTTTGTCATGAAAATATTAATCTATGTAATCAATAATTTCCAAATATAATTTATCATTAACTGTGGTCACCAATGCAGAACAGTTTGCCAAAATTTATTTCTCTGGTCTCACTAAAACTTTGTAAGCACTGATCAATATCACCCTTTTCCCCATACGTACCCCTCCCTAGTAGCCTCTCTAGTAATCATCTTTTCAGTATACAACCTTTAAAAGGAAGGAATTTCTGTCATCCATGACAATATGGATGCAACTACAAAATTGTATAATTAATTGAAATAACCTGGGCACACGAAGACAAATATCGCATAATCTCACTGATACACAGAATATGTATACCTCTTTACAGTTACTGAAATATAAACTTTTCAAAAAGATAATTAAAAAGAGAAAACAATCAAAGCAATGTTCCTAAGTGATACATTAGTATTATTTGCTTAAAGGATAGTGGTGGCACAATAAAGAACAATCCGTTGTGTTGAGTAGTATGTTCCAGGGAAGAATTCACAGAGGTGACATTGAAGCTTGTTCTCCAACAATGAATCACTACATGGACAAGGGAAAGGAAGGTAAGGGAAAACCTGTACAAAGAAAATAAAAAATATATGCAGAAGTGAAGGTAAGGAGACCACGGTACACTTAGGAAAACATAAACAGACTAAGTACAGCTGGAGATTGAACTGGTGGGAAATGAGGATGGATATACGGAGGGAAAAAGCAAGGAGTACCTCTTATATCACCATGCCAGAAAGCTTGATGTACAGTCTGCAGGCAATGGCTATTAACCACAGAATTTTGAAGCAAGAGAATTATAAGGTACCATACTGCTCCAGACAAAAGAACTAAGGTTGTGTTAGTAGAGACAGCAGATGAGATGGACTCAAGGAATTTAACAATACCTAACATTATCAAACAAAACTAGGCACTTAGATCAGTGCCTAGGACACCTAGCAATGGTTGGATAAATATTACCTGTGATATTAAGTTACAAACTATATGTAGAGAACTCTTTTTTTGTTGGTACCAGGGATCAAACTCACAACCTTGCGCTTGCAGGCAGGCGCTTGTGCCACTGAGCTAAATCCCAGGCCCCTGAAGAACTCTTTAAGACCAGAACTTATTTGGGAGGTCTAGAGCCTAATATCTGTAATAACAGTCCCAGGTAAAATAATTCATTCTCCTGTCTATTGGTCCATACCACTTTATACATTCTGCATAACAGCACCTCAAAGACAAACTGACCCTGCACATTCCTGTTTTCCCAATGGACTGTGATGAAAGACAGTATCTTTAGACAAGGATAAAAGATTGTATATTGTTAAATACTATATCTATTCAACCTGCAGAATGCATGATTTTTAATTAGAATAACCATAATGGTACATAAATTTATAAAAGAAATGACAACTGACAATAAACAGACTTCATGAAAATATGTGCAATATAGCAAGTATAAATCTAATGTCAAATAGTCTACTTGGAAGTAGAACTAACATCACTCTTGTGTTTTGTTGTTTGTTTGTTTGTTTGAAACAGGGTCTCGCTTTGTAGTTCAGGCTGGCCTCAAACTCACTATATAGCCCAGGCTGGCCTTGAACTCCTGGCGATTCTCCTGTCTCAGCCTCCCGAGCGCTGGGATTACAGGCATGCACCACCACACCCGGCCACTCTTGTGTTTTTAATGATATAAAAATAAATGGAAAAAATCAAATAAAAGAGAATTTTCTCAAAAATTGGCTCGCTACAGAGACAGTTCTATATAATCACAATACATCTTCCTAACATAAAAACATCTCCATTATATAACATTATACAATAACTTTTGGTATAATTCCTAGAACTTTGACTACCTTTCACAAGCCATTAGCTGTGTAAAGAAAGCCCATAGCAAACTCTTTTCTGTTTGAATAACTCATCCTATGATATATTAAAAGAAATTCTTATTAAATTTTATACCTGGACAACTATAAAAATATTAAATTGGTAATTAAAAGAAGCTAAAACCACAAAAATTGATAAGCCATTCTTTCTGGAGTATATACTCAGCTACAGAGTTTTCTCAAAATTAAAGCACTGATGTAAACTAGATGAAACAAAGCAAATTAGATCTAGATATAATTTATATTACTATGAAGAAAAATAAATCAAAACTTACTTCATGATATATTTGGCTCTGTCTATTGTTTGAGCTTTAACTTTTACTAAAAGTGGGTGACTGTTATAAGTTTCATTCTTCCACTGGCCATACAGACGGTATCTTTAAAAATGATGAGATGAAGAATTAGGAAAAGTTAAACAATTAGAGGTTAACAGTAGAATTACTAGTTGTTAAAAATATGAAAATATGTATTTACCTATGCTGATAAGGAAATGTTTTAAACATTCCCCACAGTTCCTCAGACATACAAGCATTGCAGTCCATCAAAGAAAGAGATGGAAGTAGTACCTGGTCAGTAATGCTAAGCAAACAGCTAAGGATAACTTCCTAAGAAGAGAAAAATTATTTCAGTAAAAAGTCCACATTAATTTACCCCCAAAATGATATTCTTGGGGAAACACATAATAGGGGCTGGGGATTTAGCTCAAAACACATAATAGGGGTTGGGAATTTATCTCAGTGGTATAAGCACCAGCCTGCTAAGTGTAATGTCATGAGTTCCACTACCACACACACACACACACAAAAAAAAAAAAATCAAACCACATAATATGCAATTCTCTGCCCTATCACTGTCCATATTTGTTTATATATCCTAACAGCAAATTGGGTGAAGAAGAGCAGCAAGGAAATGAGAAACTTTTCTCTCTTCCTTTCTCAATACATTAATCTTCAAAAAAAAGTGGGGAGGGAATGGGAATCTTAAAACACAACTTTATATGAACTGCCAAAACTTGCAGTCAACATGTAAAGTATAAAATAGTTATTCATATAGATGATCATAGCTCATTCACAGTAAAATTTGTAGTATACTATGTCTAGACAAACATTATATACATTTGATTTTTTCAGTCTCTTACCGTTTTCTCTTTATCTTCTTGTTTGCTCCCATCAGACTGAAACTAAAATTTTTTTAAAAATTAATAAAATGCAAAAAGACTCAAATTATGCTGTCACAATATAATTTTTAATCAGAAAAAGATAAACTCACAAAAAAGTGGATTGTTTTTACACACATGTAGCTCTATATATAGTCTATTATAATTAACATTTTAAAATTTCATCTAGATTCCTAACATTTAAATCATCTTTATCATGATCCTCTGTAAGCTTCACAAACCAACACTTTTCAATCTCATTATCATAAACCAAAAATCCTAAAACTGATCTCAGTATATAATACATAGCTAACAGCTAAGGATATAAATATAAAACTGTAACCATACATTTAGCTTATAATGCATTTATATTTTTATCTAGATTTTCTCTACAGAATTAGTAAAATCAAACACTAAACAAAGCCAAAATTAAACAAAAAGAAATTTTTTTAAAGTAGTAAAGTTTATTTGAAAAAATAAAAGTAAAGCAAGAGAGAAAAACTGGCTCTGCAGGAGTAAAAGAGAAAAAGACAAGATAAAAGTACATACTGGAAGAAGCAGGACAGGCTATTATGAGAAAAGCCATTATAGCCAAACACAAAGAAATTTACAGCTATGTTTTAATTCATGAATATCAACATACACACTGCAACTAAGCTCAAATTATTAGTAACACTGCTGGAAAAGACAAAACCAATGCCTAACGTGGACTGAATTTGAAAAAAAAAAAAAAACTGTATTTTATCACTGATTCCCAAATGGGCCCCTGAAGTGATACATTTGTTGATGTTATTATCTAGTTATTCAAAACAAAATAGTGGTATTTGTTATGCATATACACAAGTAGAGGAGTATGCACAAATAAACAGGACTCTTCAAACACTGACACTTAAGGACAATCTAGTTTGCTGAGGACATAATTTAAAATCAAGTGAAAAAAGAGGAAAAGCTAATATGTAGCTAATAAGGTAATTTTCTTCACAGATGAGGGTATTTTGTGCATGTACTCATTTGTATGCTTGAGTATTTTAATGGGTGTTGCCACTGGAAAGTCTAACTTCTTTGCTACATTTTCACCTGCTAATTTAGTACCTATCATTCTACCTTAATGGGAAAATACATACAAATACATCCCCCCCCCTAAATAATGGGTTTAAAAGTTATGATTCTCTTTCACAGACACAAGTCAACTGTCAGCAAATAAGGAACTGGATTACAGAGGAGTAGCCTGGCAAAAATAGAGCTACAATAGTTCTTTTTCTTTTGTTTCCCATGGGTAACTTGTAATTACAGTGGCATACTGGATATACAACAGAAGAAATAAAGATATAACTTAATTGGAAAAAATTAGGTTTATAGTCAACTATGTTAAAATTTAAGGCAGTTAAACTCCCCTTTTCCTGGTGTACTGTGATTCAAAAAACCTAATAAAATTAGAAATAGTTTTCTCTGTAGAAATAAAGCATCATCTTAGAGTTACTAATAAGGCCTGATTCTCTTGACAGGTACCTATTAGGAGTTTCTAATGTTTACGCATCAATTTTCTAGATGTTATAAGCAAGAAAACTTGAAAAAGAAAAATGGTGAACAAAATAATGCCACTTAGGAGAACAGTAAAAACAAAAAATACTCTTCCTATCGAAGACTAATGATAGCAAGGATTAAAAAATCAAGCGATACATGCAAACAAAAGCAACTTTATTTTTAGTGGTCAAAGAAATGCATTCCATCCCCTTGATGCTTTTTAAGTTTGCTTTTTTTTTTTCTTTTGATACCAGGGATCGAACTCACAACTTGGTGCTTACCAGGGAAGAGCTTGAGCCTCTGTGCTAAATTCCTGGCCCCATTTACTATGCTTATTAATTCAGATAATAATGTCAGGATAAAATGAGAGACAGAAATAGAGGAAGACAAGAGATATTCATTTATTCACTAAGTGTCAGGCACTGGGAATTCAAAGATGAGCAGGGCAAAGTTCCTACCCGTGAGAGGACAACTACCTAAAGATCAAAGTTACAATTGCCAATGTACAATTAGCAATTTAATTTTTAAGCTTGAGTGAAGTAGCACTTACAGTTACATCTAGAGAGACCCAAAACAAGTTCCAGTATCACTCCACAAAGACAGAGTAGCTGATGGTGTACACAACAGTACTGGGCACCAAAGGAATAGCACAGGTCAGTAACATCAAGAGGGAGGCTTTGGAAGATTTGAGGAATAAAAGGGAAATCTATAGATAGAACTAGATAAATTACCTTTTCACTGTTAACAGTCTATTTTTAATATATTTAATCTATGAACATTTCAATGTTATTTAAGACTAATACTTAATCCCCAAGAGGTAAAAAAGTAAAAAGATTTATGACTAGACCAGAACCTGAACCTCCTCCTATTTAAATTACGGCACAATTTTCACTCTTTTTATTTTTCTCATTCCTATTAACCCCTATATATCTACTAGGTGACATGTACTAGAATAAAAATTTTACATTTATATTGTGAATCTTTTTATATTCCAATCAGAAACTCAAGATATTTTATAAAATGCTTAGAAATATCTAATAACATTGAGATATCATTTAAAAAGAGAAAGAGACGCTAAATTAAAAAGTATTAACTCCCTACTGTATTTCATTTAGGTTAATATCTATACTGTATTAAGAGGCTAACAAATCAATAATATCATCACCTACACACCATAATAATATGGCCACCTACCACAGTGTAATTAATAGCACAATTTTTCAATATCAAGGGTCCTATTTCAGACAATAAGTAGTCTACCTACAATGTAAGTAACATTCGAACTGCAGGAAACAACTTGTGAGAGTAGTTTTAATATCAAAACATACCGGGGGCTGGGGATTTAGCTCAGCGGCATAAGTACCTGCCTTGCAAGCAGGCGGTCGTGAGTTTGATCCCCGGTACCAATAAAAATGAAAAAGAAAAAAACAATCAAAACATACCTCCAACCCTGCTATATAGTTATACTCAGCTTCCAAATTCACTAATCAGAGCTAACTATTTTGGTTAAAATATCAGTTGTGCTATGCAAGTTCATTTCGTTTTACACAATGGTTCTAAGAAGCAAAGTACAAACACTTTCAGGCCCTTAATAAATACATAAATGTGCTATATTTTGAATGATTTTTTTTTTTGGTCTTTTTGAGACAAGGTCTTGCTATGCAGTTCAGGCTGGCCTTGGGCTCACTTTGTAGCCCATGCTGGTCTCAAACTTGCAACAATCCTCCTGCCTCAGCCTCCTGAGTGCTGTGCTTACAGCAGTGAACCAGCATACCTGGTCCAATGAGTGTCTATAAAACAAAATCACAAAACTGCCCTAACTTTGGAGCAAATTAAAGTTTTTATATTGATTTGTTTAAAGTAACATGTTCCTGTGTTTTGGTTTAGCTTCCCCCAGATCCTGAATTTATTCAAGTACAGGCACTGTTTATTTGGGAAGTTATCATAGGAATCACCAACTAGGAAATTATTCTTGCAGATAAATGGACTTCTATACCATTGGAGATTCTGAGTCTATGTAGAAATGCATTGTAGGAATATTTCACTGCACCAACTGTTGTCTTTCATCAGTTGAAAGGTGGGGGCCAATGAAGTGTTAGTTCTCTGGCATTTCAGTACTGGTCTTTGTGGCACCAGCCTGAAGACAAAGACAGATAGGTACCAGCAGTTGAAGATTAATCTAGCACACAATGAAATGGAATGGAATGTGAAAGCATCTGCTATGCTCTTAGAAAAACAAATGCCCAAATCTCCAACCAGTGCACATTTTCATAAATGCTATCAAACATTACTTATCTTCTTTATATTTTGAAGTTTCTTCCTAAAATTAACTTCAGAGATTCATTTTCAGAAAAAAAAATTATTAGCGAGGAGGGGCGGGAATTGAATAAACTGCTCATAGCATGCATTTGGTCCATATTTCAAAGTCTGTTTCTTATATAAAACACACTTCTAAAAACTATACACTATTTGTACAGAGTCTAAATTTGCCTATTAATTCTTAATACAGCCTCTCCTATCCTTGAGTATTTACCCCTTTTAACTACTGGGGGAAGTGCTGAAGTCTGATTTGTAATTCATTTAAGTATGATTGAGTACCTTAATTAGAACTGTCACATGAACATACTCAATAAAAGATAAGGTGCTCAAAATTCAAATCAATTATTATAGGAAGCAATATGAGTGCAAGTGTAAGCACCCTAATGATTTTTTCTATGTCAGGCTCATTAAAGAGCAAGATGTTTGTTTTTGTGAGGTTTTTTTTAGATCAAAGTTGGTCTCCAACACTAGAGTTCCTCATGCAGTTCGAATAAGACCATTTACATTCTTAGCAAAAGTACACCGGGGAGCTTAATTGATTGATGCCAATGACAGCAGTGCCTTTTCTATTTGGAAAATAAGAACTATAATAAAAGATCTTATTGTTTAAGTATTCTTACAAAACTCATTTCTACTTAAAATGGAGAGATACAACCATACCTCCTCTAATTCACACACAAAATAGTAACAACAACTTGCTTTTCAAAAATTATCTTTGATTTGTTACCAAATCTACAACATACATTTCAACAGGGTAACTATCTGATTATCATTAAAATGTAAACTTAAGAAATGTGATCTTAAAGAAAATGAAGCTGCTATTTTAAAGTAGCTTAATATTTAAAGATGAAAATAAAGTATACTAATACTTAAATCATTAAAAACTAGTAAAATAGGGGCTGGGGATTTAGCTCAGCGGCATAAGCACCTGCCTTGGAAGCAGGCAGTCGTGAGTTCGATCCCTGGTACGGATAAAAATGAAAAAGACAAAAAAAACTAGTAAAATAACAGAAAAGTGGCAACTCACTATATTAAAAATTCATTACTACTCACGTTTCTAACTCTATGACATGGAATAATTAATGTTAGTAACTAATAAATATTTAGACATATTTCATTTGATCTTCATAGTAACTAGAAAAGGCAAATATTACCAGCAATGTCTGGCTTGGAACAGTAAC